CTCGTGTAAAAATCCACAATACAATTCTGACTATGAACAACCTGCAGGGTCAGTCCAAGTGTGGCTGCAAAGCCCCAACCAAACCGCGGGACATGGGGCTGGAGCAAAGGCAGCAGAAAGGCAGGCCTGCAGGCCCCTCACTCCTGATGGGAGAGAGGCACCGTAAAAATACAAAACACAATTCTGACTATGAACCAGCAGTACTGGCCACTCCAAGGGCAGCCTGGGTCTCACTAGGATGGCAGGTGGTGGGGCTGAGGTCCAGCCCCGTGGGCACAGGGCAGGAGTTTCCTGCCATAGTGCATGGCAAAGGCAGGCGGCAGCAACAGCAGGATGTCTCTGGGGAAAGAACATGGACTTCAGATTTGGTTTTACCATTTTCTAGCTTTTACTTTGTAAAGCTTCCCAGTATTTTTGGGCATCAATTTTCTTATCTATAAAATGGAAGTTATGCCATCTACTTCAACTGTTGTGGACAGAACCGAAAAAACAAGAAGGCTTAACCTCGTGCTGTGCACAGAGGTGCTGAGTGAGGACAGCTGGGCACCATTTGTCGGTTATTCCTGAGCACCCTGGGCTTGGGGAGGCACTGGGGCCTCTAGCCTCTGTAGCACAGCTCTGAGCCCACCGCTGCGGCAGCCTCCTGAGATTCAGGATGAAGGCCAGATCTTCAAGGGCAGGCCCAGAGGGCCTGCTGGTCCTGCTGGCCGTCTGAGAACAAGCCTACCCAGCTCTCAGAGCCAGGGGAGCAGGAGTGCCCTGCCTGTCACAGAGCTGTGGCCAGAGCTCTGTGTCTGGGTATGACTGGGTACTTTGCTTCTGTAATTCCTTATGCGATCTCGCGAGAAACACCTGAGTGCGCCCTGCCCCCACCTTACTGCAGGCACTGCCTCTGCCTCCCACCTAGAGACCCAGCCTCTCCAGGGTAGCCATCTGACCTCAGGCACTCAACAGGCCCTCCTGGGATGGGCCCAAGGGCTTGGTAACCTCTGGTTTCCTCAGCCTCAGGGATTCCCCCAGGGCCACAACACAACCTTCTAGAGTCATTCCTGCTGCTAAAGAGAGGAGAACTGCACCATCAGGCTGGGACCAGGGTGAGGCCAGAGAGGTGCCCAGGAGCTGAAATTTAAGGAGGCTCTCATTCTCAGGGCTGTCCAGCTGCAGGGTGGGCCTTAAAATGGAGTGCCTCCTTAACCTTTGCACCTAGGCGACTCTCTGGCCTCACTCTAGCCCAGCCCTAATTCTTAGGCCTTGGTCTGGTCTACCGTGGTTCCTTGTCACTTGCACACCCAACACTTGCCTCAGCATTTGTCTGGCACCAGTCACGTGGCCCTATGCCTGTTCTCAGGCTCCCCAGCCAGCTGGGTGGCTCCCGGGGCTGGGACAGCATAGCCAGTCCTGCAGCCCAGAGCCCACCGCCAAGCTGCCCATGGCAGGCACAGTTGGCCCTGTGAGGCAAAGGGTAAGTGGGGCTGGGACAGCCTCTTTTGAGAAGATCTATCAAGTTTGAAAACATCTCCTACTACTCTTGTTTATGAAATATATGTTCACTTTTTAAAAATTAGAAAAAAATATAAAAATTATCTGTAATCTCAACATCCAAGGACAGCCAGGATTACTTTTCATACTTCCTTTCAATCTTCTTAAAAAAATACTGAACAAGATTATATTTCATAGAAAATTGGGATCACAGTGCACCTAGTGTTCTCGGCCTTCATTCCCACTTATGTTGGGCATTTCTTTGTGTTGTGAAGCTCTCTGGAGAGGCTGCCACTCTCCAGAGTTGGCCTACGGTCCTGCAGGCCTGGCAAGAGCCTCGGCTGGTAGACGGAGTTGCCACTGAACAAAGAGGAGGAAGCTAAGGCTGAGAGATGGTATGGGGCGTGGCATGGGAGGGCCCAGGTCTCATGCTCTATTTATGGAGCTACCTGTTTATCTAGGTTTTCAGTCTCCCTCTTTGTCTCTGAGTATTGGATCCTGCTGCACCTTTGGGACAAGGCCTCGAGAAGCCTGCCAACAGAGAACCACCCACATCCATGCCCACACTCTTGCGTGGATCCTACTTGGATCCTAACCTCATGGTCACCAAATTTCCTCTCCAGGGCAGATGGAGCTGCACTGCTCTCCAGGACTTGTCTGGGAGCACGTGGATCTCTAAAGGCCCTTGCCTGTTTGGGTGAGGTACACACCTAATCCATCTTTAACTGAATGAGGGTTTAGGGGAAAACAAACACCACCACAAGGATGGAGCAGCTGCCACAGATCCTACCACACAGACTCTGGGGTAGGGACCTGCTGTTCTGAGCCCCAGTCATGGGGTGGGAATCCAGACCTCGGGCCAAGGAGGAATATGTAGTGGTTGTCCAGCCCCAGCACACACCAGGCCAGGCTCAGTAAAGGCACTGGCCAGAGTTTCTGGGGCTGGACAGTCTTCCCCCAGTTGTTCAGCTCTGAGTTAGTTGCTGTGCCTCAGATTCTTCCTCATCTCCTTCTGTCAGATGAGGAGGGTTTTTCTTGGCTGAATGGTGAGAAGACTTCTAGCACAAAGGAGGAGGTTCCTGAGGCAGAAATGCCAGAGCCTTCCCAATCTGCAAGAGGATCCTGTGTTGGGACTTTGCTGACACAGAGGCCTCAGGGCTTGCGTGAGTGCCCTCGAGGCTGTGGGGTGGGAGCATCATCTCCTTTCTCCAGGCCAGGCAGCCCAAGAAAGCTCTGCAGTCCCCTGCCCAGCCTGGAAAGGGTTTCCTTCCATTTGTGAGCCAGTGCTTGGTTTCTGTCTCTGTATCATTTCAGCTCCCACAGCTGTATCCTGCACTAACTGTGGAGGCTTTATATCAACCAGGTGGAACCAGACACCCTTCCAGTCAGCTCCCCATCCCTCCCCAGGGAGGACACAACAGGGCTCACAAATGGTGCAGCTGCTGTGGACAGAGGCTGGTCCCACGCCTGATCAGATCCACCTTTCCCACTCCAAAGCCCTACCCAGAACACGCTGTGGGCCCTGGGAGAGAGTACATCGACATTCACCAACACGCTTCGCATTCTTTAAGCAGAAACAGCAAGCAGATTATAGGGCAGGATTAAACTCAACATCCCAGACAATCCCTGATGGCCCTCCCCCATCTGGGCAAGAGTGTTTCCTGAGAGTTAAGGGGAACAAGAAAGAGGAGGAAGGACAAAAGAAGACAAAAATGTGGGGTCTTTTCCTTTGGTCAGGAAAGTTCAAAGTCTAGAATGAAGAGATAGTGGAATGAAGATAGCCTGCAGGAATGCACGCTGCCCCTTTTGGGGACTTGGGAACAGGGAAAGCCCATACAGAGGAGGTGTCGGCAGGACAAATACAAAGTGTTTCTAAGAAGAGTGAAGATTTCTAGCCTTCTCCTCACTCCCAAATACTCTTTAAGCAAAGCAGAGCTTCAGTAAACAAACCAGAGGCAGAGAACCTGGCTTCCAGCTTGGGGCTAGTTTCAGTACAGACTTTTTCTTCATTCCTAATGGCTTAAGAGACTGGTGTACAAAAGGGAGATACTCAGCTGAGTCTGAGAAACGCTGGTGTAGTGGCTTGCAGGAGGAGGTCGAGCACGTTTGGTGGCACCCAGTTTCTTCCAGTCCCTCCAAGAGCTCCCAATGATCAGTGTGGCCTTTCTTCAGGCCATCATTTACCAGCCCTGGCTATGGCTCTGGCCTTTACCGGACACGACGTCACAGCCAGGATGTGAACAGCAGACTCTGATCTCCAACTCCAGACACAATCACTGATTTACTTCTGCAAACCAGAGCTGTCTGGTCTTGCAGGGTCAGACCATGTAAACAAGCCCGCTGCCAGGCAACAGAAGACAGGCACACGAATAAAGACGCCCCGCAAGGAATGAAAAACAAAACTGCTCTTGGGAAACCCAGCTCCAGTATCTGGGAATGGGTTTGAGATCGACTTGAACTTTGTGACGTTTTACTTTCTGTTTTCACTTCTTTTCCACTAAAGCAACGCCCTCCGATTCATGTGCCAAGTCCTGATTTCTCTCCCAATAGCTGCCGACCCACCACCCCGGTACCGGCCATTTGAGAGAATACAGATGGACACTTGGGCACACCGTTTTCTGGAGAAACTGGGCGCTCATTCTAAGAACAGATATACCTCCGCAACTGTCCAACAGTTAGCAAAAGACCAAGGAATGAGAAGCTCCATTCTCCTCATCCCAGGGAAACTTCACTTCGGCAAGGTCTCCGAACTGCTTTTCCAAATTAGGGTTCTAGCTCTGGGGCAGACTTGGGACCTGCAGTGCTTTTAGGAGCGGGAGACAGGGCAGGATCATCCCGAAAAACTGCCTCTGGCTCCCAGCGCGGAGGATTCGAGGTGGGTCCAGCCCCGGCCCATCCAGGGCTCCCTCCCGACAGGCCCCCTCCCCCGCGGGCAGCAGGGTGGGGCCCGCTGCCCGCGGTCCCGGCCCGACACCCTCGGGGCTCCCACGCAGGCCCGGCTCCCGCGCACCCGCGCACAGCCGCTCACCGGGCTCCAGCAGATGAGCGCGTCGGTGTCCGGGTCGCTCACGAGAGTCCACAGCTTGGTCAGGAAGGCCGGGACGTTGCTGGGCCCCGCCGCGCCGGGGCCCACGGACAAATCCATCTCGGGCGAGGCAGGGAGAGCGGACGTAGCGGCCGCAAAGAGGTGCCGAGAGCCGGGCTAATGCCGTAGCCGCGCCTGACACCCGGGCCGCACCGGCGCCCGCTGCGCACACACGGCCCAGAGGCCTAGCATGGCCGCCGCCATCTTGCGACGGGCGCGCTCCCGTCTGTGCCGCCGCCCGTTCGCGTCCCCACTGGTGCGCGCCCGCAGGCCCCGCCCCCGGCCCGGCTACACGGCGCGCCTGCGCGTGCTGGCCCCGCCCTTGAATCCCACCAATCGAGGCTAGGATGGGCGGGGCCTGCCGGCGCACGCGCCGCGGCGCTGCCGGAAGCGGCTGTCGGGGTCCGAGCCGGCGTGCGGCAGGCATGGCGGCCGAGCGGAGCTCTGGGTGCGTGGAGGCAACCGCGGGCTGCGGCATGAAGCGGCGGCCGGAGCCTGAGCAGGAGCCGGAGCCACAGCTGGAGGAGGTGACCACGGGGCGGCGGGGGCGCGTCCGGCCGACGGCCCGACGTGCACGTGGCGGGCAGTGGCGCGGGTCGAGAGGGAAGGCGGGGAGGGCGGGGGCACGTCCTCTGTGCTGGCGTCGCTGTGGGGCCTCAGGCTGAGAGGACCGCCCGTGCCGGGGAGCCGTGGCGCGGGAGTCGGTCTGGGGATGCCGGAGGGAGCGAGCGTGGGGCGTGGGCAGCCCTCACCGCAGCTTCTTTAGCCTCTTGCGTTGTGCATCTTGCCATCGGGAGGATCGGGGTTTGCACCCCCACTTAATACTTAACCTCTTCGTACACGCCCTATTTGCATTATTGTACTCATGGTTGGATATGAGAATAAGAAAACCTGAATTGAACACAGTGACTGCTGCGTTTGTTGTGTCAGAACTCATTGCCGCTCTACTCGTAATGCCCAGCTTACCCGTGGCGTGGTTGTGGGGGCGTCATCACATCTGGGCAGAAGGCATGTACAGCCAAGTGGGTTGTTGAAGCTGTCCCTTTGTTTTGTGAAATGTACTCCTGTTGCTCGCCCACTGCCCTCTGCCAGCAGGCAAGTCTGGGCGCCAGGCTCTGCTACTTCCACCCTTTGGCTAAATACTCATAAGGAGTAAGTTGTTTTTGTGCCCAAACCATTTATGGTCTACTTGCTGTTAGAATTGTGTGGCCAACCGAATACTGCAGCTCCTTCACCAGGGGGTATATGTTAGAATCACTTCTGTGAAAACTCAGTTGAATGCTATGGCATAGCTGGCAAACAAGTCTGTCCTCTTGGGTGAGACTTACAAACTGTTAGAAGACAGTAAAGGCTAGACTTAATTCAGCTGCTTCCAAAGAGTCTTTGAGTTCCTGTTCTACTTTTTTTCTTTTTTTTTTTTTTTGAGACAGGATCTTTCTATGACACCCAGGCTGGTGCGCAGTGGTATGGTCATTGCTCATTGTCACCTCAAACTCTTGGCCTCAAGCAATCCTCCCACTTTGGCCTCCTGAGTGACTGGGACTACAGGCATGAGCTACCACACCCACCTCTCTAGTTCCACTTTTTAAAAACCGGTGATGGGACCTGTCTGCTGTATGTTGTGTCATGTAGCTAGGCATGGAGTGGTCTCCGGTCATCAGGGCGCTGCTCAGAGAAAGCTGTGTCCTGCTCCAAGACAGGAGTGATTAGGATTATACTTGTGTATAAGTGAAGCATGCATTGTTTTTATTACTCTTCAACCAGCCTTTTCAATTTGCTGATTAACTGTTGGTTCCAATCTCATTAGATAAGGAGGCTGCTTCTTCAGGTGATAAAAGCCCTGCAGGGCTTGTGATCCTCTTCTGGCCTCCAGCTCCTCCCCCAGTTAGTGCCCTCACAGCTCTTGGGGGCATTGGATGGTAGAGTAGGCTGTGGAGAAGTTTAGTTGGCAGTGGAAAGCAAGTTTTTAATACAGTGGAAACTGAGCTCTAACAAGGGGTGTTATCCTTGAAAGGTCCCTTTTTTGTGAGATGCTAGGAATTAAAATGTACATGCCAGAGGCAGGTAGCCATGCTGCCTGTGGAGGTCGAGGATGCGGAAGGCTCAGGCTAGGTGGATGGTTCGCTAGAGGTAGAGACTTGAGGCTGGAGGGTGGGGCCTTGGAGGCTGGCTGTACAGAGTTACTGGTCAGTGCCTGGAGTGGATGGTGGGGCCTGCTCCTTGCAGCAGTCAACTCATGGTGCCTGTGTGGGCAAGCCTGCGGGGGTGACAGACAGCAACCCAATGCTTCCTTGCAGCCCTCTCTCTGCAGCTCTGCTCCCAGCCATGGAGATGGCACGGATTCTAGCCTTTCTGACAGTGAAGAGAGTGTATTCTCAGGCCTGGAAGATTCTGGCAGTGACAGTAATGAGGACGATGGTCACGATGACGTCGAGGGCCACAGCGGGACAGAGAAGATCACTGGGGAGCAGGCACAGGTGGGTGAGCGAGGAGCCTCCCTGGTGGGCTTGCCCCTCTAGGCAAAGGTGGTCAGGAGGAGGAAGGCTTGCTGGGGCCTGGGCTCTCTGAGGGGCTGCACTGCACTGCTTTCTTCAAAGTTCCCTCGGGAACTCCAAGGCCTGTGTCCCTCGTTCGTTGCATCTGGGGCACACTGGGCTCTGGAGCTCTGGTTTTCATCCTCAGTTGTGTGTACCATTCAAGGGAACTCCGAAAATCCCCAGGCTTAAGCCTTTTCCCTTCAGGCGATTCTTGTGTTGCCTGTCTGTGGGACACTGAGCCACCCTCCCAGCCTTGCTGGGTTTCCTCCAGGCAGGGTCCAAGATGGGGACTGGACTCCCTGTGGGTGTTGGGATAGGGGCCCAAGCAGGCTGCACATGGGACCGCTTGAGTCAAGCCCCACTGACCCTACAGGCCCTCAGGAGCCCAAGTGCCCACAGGTGGAGCGCTGTGTGTTGTACCATTGCAGTGATGGTGGGGTGCACCCCACTTTTAAGGGAGGTCAGTGGAAGAAAAGTGTCATTTAACTAAAATACAGTATTTGTTGTTCAAATGTTCTGGAAATAGTTTGTAATGATTTACACTTCCAGTGGCTTTGGCATTCTGAAAGTTATGACCTTGCCTAGTACAGATGCCTGCTCCCATGACAGAAACCAAAAGCCATGGCTTGTTCAGTTTGTGCTGGTTGCGTTGGATGGCTTTGTTTACTAGGAAAAAAAGAATTTTTTTTAAGAGACGTGATCTCTCTCCATGTCGCCCGGACTGGTCTTGAACACCTGGGTTCGAGTGATCTTGCCTTCTCAGCCTTTCAAATAGCTGGGACTACAGGTGTGCACCACTGAGCCCAGCTAGAAAGAAAAGACTTAAAATCAGATTTAAACCTTCTACCTATTCAGGCTTTAATTATAATACTGGCATGCACAGAGAGAAAATGATGTGATAAGTCTGTTGACCATGGTTTGCAACTGTTTTCTCCTTTTTCTTAAGGTTTTAAAATTATAAAGAACAACTTCCTTGAAAAAAACTTAGAGCCTGATACAGTGGCACATGCCTGTAGTCCCAGCTACTTGGTTGGCTGAGGCAGGAGGATCACTCGAGTCCAGCAGTTTGAGGTTGCAATGAGCTGTGATGATGCCACTGTACTCTAGCCCAAGCAGCAGAGCAAGACTGTCTCAAAAAAAAAAAGGAAAGTTAAGGATTTACACATTTAAGTATTTGAAGTTTTCCTTTTATTAAATTCTTTGAAATAGGTAATGTGTACAAGTATCTCAAAGGTACAGCAGGATGTGTCCTGGTGGAAGGCGCTGTCTTCTCTGGTCTTGTCTCTAGAGCCCCCGAGCTCCAGGCCTTCTGAGCTGCTGAGCATGTGCAGCCCCAGCTCGTTCTCTGCGGGGGTTTCTGTGACTGGACGTAGCTGGCTGCCCTGCACAGGGTGTTCCTGTAGCACCTCTCTGGTCTGTTCGCTCCATTATGCAGCAAGGCCTGAGGCTGCAGCCTCAGTGAGAGATGGTGAATAACTGCCTGCCCCAGAGGGTGGGCCTGGCCTGCCTGCCCTCTGCCCACAGGGTGGGCTCTGGGAGTTGCCAGCCTCTGACTGCATGGTGCTAGGGGTTGGTCCTCCAGTTCCCTGCACCACCCCTGCTGCCCAGCTGCCTGCCCCGCTTTGGCGCTCACATCTTAGTGTCTGTTCTGTGCTTTAGCACATTTGGCCCCTGCTGGAGTATTTTTAGTTCTGAAGTGTGGTCCTCATTACTGGATTTAAATTCTTGCAGGCCAGAAGAGTGAATTGAAGAGGTGGGGGTGCCATTGGCTCCTTAGGAAGTCTCTCTTACTGCCCCCTTTTCCCACCTGTTCCTCAGAAGCCATCAGACACCTTGGCCTGACTGAGCTGGCCCTCATCTCTCATCTGTGTCCCTTGCCGGATGGTGCGAGTCCTTTGCCATCATGTGGCCCTGTTGGTGGAAACTCAGCCTGCAGGACAGTCCCTGCTTCCCGAATATTTTTGTGGCATCCCTGAGCATGGCCGCACAAGGATGCCCCTCTGACAGCCCTGCCACTCTCTGGGTTGGTAGCTCCAGGTTAGGCCCATTTCTTTGTCATCCCAAAGCCAGTCCAGGGCTCATTACGCCTATAACCCTGGCACCCTCCAACCTCTCAGGCCCTGCCATCTGTCCTTACCCCCGGTCAGGGGTTGTTATGTGTCACATCATCTGGAGGTCTCTGCCCCAGATGTTCCTGCCACTGGGTATGGGTCCTCAATCCAAGAGCCTCTCCATTGAGCAGCTTCTAGAAGTAGCCCTCCCATTAGTGGTAGAAATGCGTGCCAGAGTGACTTACCAGCTTCTGCCCCTGTCTATGTGAGGTGTCCCAGCTTTTTCCTGGGAAGCTTGGGATTCTGTGGCACCTGCCACGGCATGCGCACCTGTGTGGTCTTGCACATAGTTGGGGGCCATAGTGAGCTGCTTTGTGAGTGACGGTACTGTCTGCCTGGGAACCCACTGGAGAATAAGATGACTTTTCTGTAATGAGAGAACAGCCTGAGTGCTCCTTCCCCATGCCCACTGCCCCCTCTTCTTGGGTGTGTCTCCTCCTTGGGGTGCTGGTGACCGCCAAGCAGTGGGTTTTCTGCTGATTTCTCTTCAGCCATGTGCTCCTGTCTGTCTACTTGACCATCACCCCTATTTCTTCCACATTCTGTTGGCGAGACGTGTCCCCTGTTAGCTGTCTGAAGGCTTCCACTGCTTCTTGCCAAGGATGAGGGGCAGCCACCTCTCTTCTGGACCTCTGTGCCTCGTGTGTCTGAAGGACAGTCTGGTGACTGTCAGATCAGACTGGAGCAGTGGCAGCATCGTGTGTGGTGTCCCCAGACCTTGCTGCCTGCAGCATTGCACCTGGCCCAGAGGATGCAGTGAGGAAGGTGCTGTGGCATTTGCAGAAAGCCTGTCTCTGCTGCTGTTCTGGCAGTCCCATGCGGGTGGGTCACTTCAGGGAGCCCTGTCCCATAAGGTGGGTTCCAGGCGTTTGCCTCAAGCCATCCTGGACAGACCAGGACATCCTGCTGAAAGCATTGCACAGGTGAGGACTGGAGCAGAGGGCCTGGCATGCCTTCGGGAGGCTGCCATGGGTGTGCACTTGGAGGTGGCAAACCCACAGGGACAGGCTGGATTTTAGGCCTCCTGTGTATACATTTCTTCTAGGCCTGTTGGGCAAGTGCTGGCCCAGATGCTTAGGGCCACTCTGGACAAACGTGCCCCCACGGGGCAAGAATGCACTTGGCTCCAGTGCCAGCTAGGCACTTCCCTCTCACTTCTCACTTCCTTGGGCCTTTTGTATTTCTGTGTGTGCACCCCTTTCTTTTTAAGGGATATGTAGAATCATGTGATGTTGGTTTGAGCAGGTAAATATGTACATGTTGTCATGGGGATGCTAGAGGACTCACAGGAGGTCTGGGGGTGCGTGGGGAAGGGTCTCCCTCCCTCCCATCCCACCCCTTTTCCTGTTCCTCTGTGCAGGCAACTTCTGTTTCCAGTTCTAAAGTCTCTTTCCAAGATGTTCTTTGCACATCCAAGCTTGTGTGCATGTACAGAGTTTTCTAATGGTGGTTTCTTAGCAGAAAACGGAGCACACCTCACACAGTCTCAGGATGTTTTCCCTGCTTTTGAGTTTGTTGCTCTCTGAGCACACAGCCGCTCAGCACAGGCGGGCTGTGGTCCCCCTCCCCAGTTCCAGTGGTGGGTATTTGCAGTCGTTTGCTATTATAAATGGTGCTACCGTAATAACGTTGTTTATGCTGCTTCTCACATATGTGAGCAATTCTTGGGATAAATTCTGGGAATAATTTCCAAGCCAAAGGGTAAATGCTTTTTTAATTGTGAAAGGCATCCTTAGTGTTCCCTGGAGGTCATGCCACTCCAGGCAGCCACACCTGAGATGGAACCTCCTCCTAAGCCTGAGGTCCTACACGGTGAAACGTCATCTCTCTTCATTAAGAATGAAGCACCTTTTCTTTTTTTTCTATGAGAACTGTTTCAGCTAAATCCTTGTGCATCTGAAATGCACTTTTTATCACTGTTTATGTTCCCTTCCCACGAGTCATAGGTGTGCCTAGGCCCCGTGACCTGCCCTCCTGCCTTGGGCCCCTGCCCAGCCTGGCCTGCACTTCCCACCTGTGCCCCTGCCCTTGAGCTCATGGCTGAGGTAGACCCCCAGGAAGTGCTTTGGTGGTCCTCCCCCAGGTGCAGCTGCCCTTATCATGAGCCCTTTGGTCTTCATGGGGAGGGAGGAGATGTCTTGTTAGTTCTCTTTTCAATTTCTTTTCTTAGAACTTCCTTTTAACCCTTTTTTCTCTAAGTCTCAGTTTGCTGCCCCAATCCCAGAAGCACTCTTGTCTTCTTCCCGTGGTCACATTGACCGCCTATCTACCCAGCATCTCGTGTCCTCACATGGATCTGCACGTGGGGTCAGGAAAACTAGCTTCGTTTTGGTCTGAGGTCCCTGGACCAGGAGCCCTTGGCTGTTTTCTCTGTTTTTGTCAGTTATGTGTCACTGTGTAGCAAATTACCCCAAACCCAAAGGCTTCCAACAACTAGCACTCATTCTCACTGTTTCCGGGAGTTGGGAGCCCTGGCGTCTTGCAAGGTGTTTCGCAGGGTGGTAGCAGTGTAGGGGCTTCCCTTCCAAGCTCCCTCACCTGGCTGTTGGCAGCTGCAGAAGGGCATGATGTGTTCTGGGGCTGGTGAGTGGGTGGGAGCAAGAGCTGACAAAGGAGGGGCCAGCTGCTGGGGCTCCCTCTTCACTGCCCCGAGGATCTGGGCCACACATAAACCCAAAGCCACAAGAAAGCCTGTGGCTGCAAGCGGGCTTCACCCAAAGCTAGGGGGTCCTACTGTGAACATGCTGGGCCCTGAGTCACCTTCCTTTCCTCGAGAAACAAGGGATATTTTTTACTTTGTGTTGTCTCTGGCCTTTTCAGTACCCACTGGTGTATTTTCTGTTAAAAGCGTGTGGGTTTCCCGCGCATCAGTTTATGAGTCTCTTCTGTTAGATGAGCCACATGCATGGAGCCCTTCTGTGCGGGGCTCCCTGCAGCTGGTGCAGGCTGTGCCTTGGGGAGCGTAACAGCTCCCTTGTCCAGCGTGGAGGGTCTGTGGTGTAGCACTGGGTTCTTTAGCCTCCTTTGTGCATAGGGTCTTCATGTCACCAGCCACACTCTGATCTTTGCCCTGAGGTGTCAAGGACATGCATGTGCGTGGCAGTGGCTACTTCCCTTCTGCCTTCCAAGTCTCTAGTGGAATCCTCTTGTGGGCAGCCTTGACCCAGAAACCACAGGGAAGGTAGTGCTGGGAGCAGTGTTCTGGCCCGGCTGACACAGTGGCCATGCCTATCTGTTCACCGGAAGAGACAGGTGCCCTCGCTGTCACATTCCCAGTGGGTGGTGGCATTAGGGCATGGCCAGGTTGGGCCAGAACCTGGGCAGGGAGGAGCTCGTTCAATGTTTTGGGCTCACATACATTCTGCCCTGGGACTGGGCAGAGACATGTCTGTTCCCTGAGGTCCAGTGGCATCCCCCCGTTCAGGGATGGGAATGACCCCTTCCTCCCAGCCTGTTGCCAGGCCCCAGTGCAGTCCCTCTGCCAGCCGGTCAGCATAGCCTCCCATATGAGCCCCACCTGGGTGCATGGGGCAGCTCCCTGTCCGCTGGTCCTTCAGTCCTGCTCTGCCTCGGTCTGGGTTGCCCATCCTTGCTGTCCGTGTCGTGTCTCTGGGCTTTTCCTTCACCCTACACCCCGACTCTGGCCGATTGGCTCCTGTTGGTTATGGTGTGAGGCTGTGCTGCTGCTTGCGCTCGCGGGGACTGCCTTTCCTGCCCTGAGGTCTGGGTCCCCTCACCTGGGGCTTTTTCAGGGCAGCTCTGGGCAAGGTTGAGCCTGTCCTTGTGGTGCTGCGTGGTGCTGCGTGGATCTGGGCAGACCCTCCCCCTTGGTGTCTGCACCACTGCTGGGTAGGGGCGCTGGGAGTGCTTCATGGGCTTACATTCCATTTGTCTGTTTTTTGGGGTATTTTTTCTTAATTTTTAAATTAAAAAATATATTTTCAGTGCCCCAAAGCATCTACCTCCAAAATTTGAAGTGATGGGGCTTTCCCAGATCACCCAGTTCCCAGAGCTGAGCTGTTCGGTGCCCCTGCTCTTAGGGAGCACAGGGTGGGCTCCGGTGCTGCTGCCCTCTGGTGGACGCCATCTGCCCCGTAGCCATCACGTCCTCAAGCAGACGCACACCTGGAGACCTGGGCGCCTGTCTCTGTCTGGCTCCCCCAGCCCCTACGTGACTGTGTGGGTGGCCTGTCTGTACCCACAGGGCAGCAGGGGGCACACAGTGTGGATGGCAAGTAGTCATCACCTGCCGGGACCTTGTGCCTGTGGCCTTGGCTCGGAAGTTGAGGGTCATGGGGTGCAGCGACCGGTGCAATGCCCTGGCTGTGACCCCCAAGGCCCACATTGCAGAGCATGTTGTGAGTGTGGGACAAACAGCAGCTTGGTGTCACCTTGGTGTTGGCTGGCCCTGGCCTGGGGGCTGGCTGCCTGGCTCAGGGCCTGGGGCAGGTGTGGGGGTTGGTTCACCCTAGGCAGAGGCAGGGCCTAGGGCTGAACCCCCTGCTCCCAGCCCTGGTCACCTCAGCCACTGCCCCGTGCTGCCAGGCAGTATGACCTGCTTCCAGCGAGCAGTAGGGGAGATGGGGGTGGAGGATGTGGAAACTGAATCTTTCCTTGTCCCTGGCCTGGAGAAAAACTTAGTCTCCCATTTCTCTTTATATTGAGGGAAAAAACAGGCGAGAGGAGGAGCAGGCTCAGCAAGCCTTTGGCTCCTGCCCTGGCAGGAGGGCGTGGGGCTCCGGGAGGGGGTTGCACTCAGGGGTTGCTGCTCCCCCCGGGGTGAGAGGTGGGCCTGTTTTCCCCATCAGTCCTGGTTCCGCCAGTAAACCCGATCTGGTTGGAGCCATCCACGCCTCCCCAGTTGGGGGGGGCGGGTAAGAATCTGTTTTCCAGGTTGGGTTGTGAATTCTCAGTGGCCCACTCCCTGACCTGGGGGGCTGGGGTCGGCCTGGGGCCGTGGACTTGCTGGGTGGGGTGGGGCTGGGGGCCTGCAGGAGCCACAGGCATTCTGCAGGTTTGGGGCACCTCTCTGGGCCCTTGGCTGGCTGCGCTGGGCCAGACAGGCCTCTCCTCCACCCTGGCGCTGGTGAGGCCGCCTTGGGGCAAGGGTGCTACCCTGAGGTGTGGCCTGGCTGTGGCCCCTGTGCTGGCCCTGAGTGTGTGCCACCTGCCCTTTTGGGCCTGCCGTGGGTCTGTCAGACCAGGAGCCCTGCAGCAGTTTTGATGGTGATAGGAGTTAAGGGCAGTGGCTGGGGGTTTGGGGGGGGTCCTGCTACTCTGGGCGCCTTCACCTTTTCCAGCCTGGCACCAAATGTCAGCACCTCCCTGGGCTGCCAGGGGGCCCACGGGGAGGCTGGTGAGCCTGGCCCTGGCAGAGAGGCAGCGCCTGGGCGGGGCCTGCAGTGGTGATCACACAGGCCCTGAGGCACATGGAGCTGGGGTGTCCTGTGGGGGCTGTGGGGACCTCAACCTTGGGGAGAGCAGTTCTGCAGTTCTGAAGTGCTTCACCAGAGGAGGAGACTGGGGTCCCTGGGCCTGGGACATACCCAAGGTCAAAGGGCATTCCATGCCCCCTGATGTAACCATTCTTCCCTTTCGCTGCAGGCCGGCCCCCCTTACCTGAGGACAGAGGTGGTGAGAGCACAGAGCGGGGATGAGTATGCTAAAGACAGCTCTGATGAGGAGGTAAGCCAGGCTCACGGGGTGGCAGCCAGGAGCCACCCAGCAGGGGTGTTGGGCCTTCCCAAAGGTGGGCTGTGCTGCCTGGGGACAGAGAGGAGTTGGGGCTGTGGTAAGGTCTGAGTGGGCGTCCTGGCTTGGGGCCCTGTTCCATGTCTGGAAGAGTGATTTCGGGGTCTGGGACACATGACTGAAGCAGTATGTGTGGGTCATTGTGTGTGCCAGGGAAGGGAGGCTGGGTGTGGCTCCATGGCCCCTGTGCCTTTGTCTGGGCCCTGGCACCGTGGACTGGTCTCTACAGATCCAGATGTGTCTGCAGGTGGCCTGCTCTGGGTCACTGTGTGCTCTTTGGGGGTGTCATGAGCAGACTAAGGCTTCTATCTGTAGGGTGGGCCGCTGTAGCCTCGGGCAGGGGATGGGCATCTCCTGGTGTGTTGGTTGGCTCTGCCCTTCCCCTGGCATCCCCAAGCAGTGGCTGATGTGGGCTAGGCCACCGCCTTCAGGCCTCTGAATTCCAGGATCACTTACTCAGGAGGGACAGCAAAATTTGGTTGTTTCTCTCAAGGAGCTTACAGTCTGAAGGGGAAAAGCGTGGTGCTGGTTTCTCTGGGAGCCACGGTCCCTAGAGGCCATGATAGGTTGTGTCCAGGGGTCACAGTTGGGCTGTGGGGGCTGCCCTCAATTTAGAAGGGGCTAGAAGCTCTCAGCCTGGAGGCAGTGCGGTCACCCTCCTGTCCCTTCCCTCATGTGGCCCCTGGGCTGCGCACCTCTGGTGGGAGTGAGAGCCTCCTTTGGGCCTTGGGGGACTGCAGAGGGAAGGCTTTGGTGTGAGGCCTGCAGGGATGGGGCCCTTGCTTCCCGAAGGAGCTCTTCCTGCCTGCCTGTCAGGGGCTGTCCCCAGAGCCTGGGGGAGACACGCGCTCCCTCCCTGCTCAGGTTCCCCCCCCTCATGCTCTCTTGGCAGTGGCTGCTTGGCTGCCCGCCCGATCCGGTCTCTGCTGCGCGTTCGGAGAACAGAGACAAAACAAAATAAATTGGTTTCCTGGCCGTAGCAGCGGCGCACTCAGCGAAGGGGGGCCACGCAGCGCGGCCCCTGCCTGTCTCCCTTCCCCCTCCCAGGGGCTCTGGCTGTCGGCAGCCACATCCTGTCGGCTACTTTTTTATATTTGGTATTTTGAAAAATCGATGATGATTGTAAGTGGAGTGCAGAGGCCGGGGGAGGGGCCCCGGACGATCGTGGCTGACGCACAGCTAGCCTGACCTGCCCACGGAGCTCCGCCAGGCCTGTCCCTTGCCATTGCTGTGCCACTGCTGGCCTCAGGGTGGGCAGCCCCCTGCTGTGCCGGGAGGAAGCGGCTGGGCCATGGGGGCTGCTTCCTCTGTGATGACTATCCCAGATGTGGTCTGAGTGACAGCCTAGGAGCTGAGATGCCGCCTGGCCTTACTCTGCCAGCATAGCCGGCCAGCGGCTCGAGGGGGCGGCAGAGCTCAGCTTTCAGGAGCCCAGCCAGGCCCGGACAGATGTGTCCCTTCCAGAGAAGTCCATGTGCATGGGGGGGCGCCCAGAGGTTGTGTCCGTCTGGGCCTCTGCACCCTTGGGGCAGAGTGAGGTTGGCTGAGGGGAGTGGTTTGGGGCTGCAGGTGGTCAGGGAGGAGGCTTGGGCAGCTGGAGAGGAGGGCTGGATCCTCTTTGAGCTTCCTGCCCCCGTTCCTGACAGCGGCACATCTGTCTGGGGGGTGTGCACACATGGCAGCCCCTCCCGGGCAGAGGACCTCTCTGTGGCTGTGGCCTGTTTGGCTGGTGCCTATGAGGGGCTGCAGCCTGCTGTCAGGGCAGCCCCTGCCTGGGCCATCCATTGGATGGCCCCTTCTCCCAACAGTGTCCTTGCAGTTGGCTGGTGGTGCTGGGACCCTGGTGCTTCTCTTTGGTTGATCACAAGCACTCAGCAGAGCTGGCTGGGTGGCCAAGCCTCGATGTCAGGTCCTTGAGGGCTCTGGCCAGGGCCCTGACAACAGGCAGGAGGGTCCTGCTGGGGGCAAGTGCCGCCAGCCCCCACCTGCCTCCCCTCCTGGGCCTCTTCCCTTGCCCAACCGCAGGTCTGAGTCCAGGGCCTGGTCTGAGGACTCTGGAGCTTCTGTGCACTCTGACTGCTGGCCTCCACTGGGGCCTCACTTTGGGGGTTCCCCTCCCCTGGACACTTCTCTAACCCTGGCCTACCCTTGGCGGGAGAGCTGCTTCCATGGGAGAGCTGCTTCTATTCACGTGGCCTCCTCCTACTCTCCTGGGAGTGAGTCTGAGGGAGGTGGGGGCGGAGCCCCTGATTGAGCTGCTGGGCCTGGCGGGGGTCCTGGCCGCCATGGAGTGGGGGGAGCCCCCAGGAGCTGGCTAAGCTGCGGCCGCCCCGCCCCCGCACGGCCACCTCACCCCTCTCCCACCGCGCCTGAGCCTGGAGCTTCACAGACGTGATCTCATCCAGCCGCCGGGACCCCCAGGGAGGGGGGCGGGGTGGAGGGGCGGGGCGAGGGGGCCCTGCGGCCTTTGCAAAGGCAGCCCCCTGTTGGTGTCAAGCAGCTGGGAGAAACTGAGGCTGGGGCATGGCCCAGGGGAGGAATTGGCTGCCTGCCCTTTCCCTCGCCTTCCCAGCAGGCCTTCGGCTAGGGTGAGGGGTTCAGGGCATCGAGAACTCTGATGACAGGGAGAGGCCAGGAAGAGATGCCCTCCTCACTTGTCTCTACCCTGTCCCTGGGGCACTGGGCCTGGGCCCATTCCCCGTGGACCGCTGGTGGGTCTAGGGGCAGGGGTAGGTGTGGGGGCCGTAGCCCTGGCTGCTCCCCTGGGATGGGTCCATCTGTATCCAGAGCCCGCCATCTCCTCTGCTCTCTAGCCAAGCACCATTAATGGCTTCTCCCAGCTACTGAACCAGCAGCTGCCTCGAGTGCTGGCGGCCTCCTGCTCCTCCGGGGCCGCCCCCACCCGCCCGCCCGCGTCTTGGCCCTGCGCACTCAGTCTTGCGTCCTTGCGTCCTGGCAGCCAGCGCCTCTCGGCTCAGGTTTCCCAGCAGCGAGTGAGCAGTTAGCCCTCCCCGCTTGGTTTGTGGAGGACGCCCCAGGCCTGCAGACTGCCCTGGCCTCCCTGGCGGCCATCTGCCCTCCCGAGCCCATGCCTGCCTCCCAATGGGCTCAGACTGGCCCTCCCAGCTCTTGTCCTTCCCCTGTGCGCCTAGGCCAGCCCTCCCAGGGAGGGGCGCCCCCACCGACATGCTCTGCTGACCCCACACCCTCTCCAGTGGTCATAGGGCATGGGTGGGCATGTGCTGTGGTCCCCGCCTGGTGCCCCTTGACCAGGGAAACCCCACCTCCATCCAGCACCACCCCGGGCCCAAGAGCCGCCCTGTGCATTGGATTGGGAGAGAAGATTCCTCTTGGGAAGGGGGGTGTTCAGGCAGAAGGGGTAGGTGGTGGCCCCCTATGAGGGGTCTCTCAGGGCCCAGGAACCTGGCAGTAGTGGCTGGGGAGGGCTGGGATGGAGAGCCTTCCAGAGGCCCTTCCTCCCTCTTGCTGGGGTGTGGGGGTGGGGGCTCCAGGCCTGCTCTGGTGCCCACTCGGGGCCAGTTTCCTTGGCAGTGGGAACCCTGGGCGGGTGGCAGGAGGATGCTGGGACAGGAGTTATTGAGGGAGGTTTGCCCTGGGCCTGACCTGGGGCAATGTCTGGAAGGCAGGTTCTGTGGGGTATGGTGGGCAGGGGGTGCTGGCTGGGTTGGGGACATAGCAGGAAGCTGGCTGCAGGAGCTGGGGCTGGGCTTGTGTCCCGAGGCCAGGCTGTGCTGACGGGGGCAGGAGTCCCAGATGCATATGGGCTGTGTTTGGGGTTGAGCAGGTGGCACTATGGCACCCCCCACCTTGAAGCTGCAGCTCTGTCTCTGTAGTACGGCTTAGCACAGGCCTTTGCCACTCAGGTGAAATTGGGTTGACGCAGGGTGAGCAGTGAGTGTGGGATGCGTGTCTGAGCCCAATCCCCCACCCCTAGCATTCGGACAGGCGTTCTGGGAGCTGCTGTTCCGTTGGACCCTGTACCAGGCAGGCTGGGGTCTGGGGCAGCCTCCAGGCGAGGGGTGCCCTCTCTCCACCCTGAAGCCTGGGGCTGGCAGGAGGCCGGGCTGTGGGCCCAGCCAGCTTCTTGAGGGACAGACACACAGATGGTGGGTGCAGAGAGGGAGGTGAGGGCCGGGCTAGGGGCTCTGCCCCTCCCGCAGCTGGTTTGGACTTTGGGGCAGGAAGGTGAAGCCTAAGCAGGACCTGGCTTTTTCCTTCTGATCTGCCAAGGACTCTGGCTCCAGCTCCAGGGCTCAGCACCCTGCTGGAACTTTCTGTGGGGTCCGATGCAGCAGGTGAGCCTGGTATAAGCAGCTCACCTCCCCCTGACCCCCCACCCCATCCTGGCTGCACTGAGCACTTAGAGATAAAACTTCGAGAAGCAGGAGAAGGAGGAGGAGTCGTCGGCACAGGAAGGCCATGTCGCTCTGAGACAGGCGGCCATCGCGTGCGGGGGAGTGGAGTCAGTGCTGAACACTACCCGCATTGTAATCGGAGAGGGGCTGGGGGAAGAGAGAGACTGAGCGAGGGCGGCTGACCCCACGCTCCCGGGGGACAGGTGGGAGAGGCGGAACGAGGAGAGAGTGAAGGATTCCAGAGGTGGGCCGGCTTCCTCTCTTGCAGACAGACACGGGAGGGCGGCGGGCAGCGGGCCAGCCGCGTACCTGCAGTTCCAATCTGTGGTCCTGACAGCTGCAGCCACTTTGGGGAGGGGGAGGGGAGGGGGCTCATCGAGGGCGGAAAAACCCCAGCCGGCACATCAGCCGGCTGCTGGCTGCTGCCTGTGTCCGGTGCGGTCTGGGTGTGAGGGCCCCCAGGAAAGCACTGACCTTGGGTCTGTGTGTGCCCTTGGCCAGCCGGCCTGGGCTCTCAGAGTGCAGTGCCTGACCTGGAGGGTCACATGTGTTTCCTGGCAGCCCGCAGGTGCTGAGCAGGGCGGGGCGGCTGGCCTATGGGAGCAGGCAGCCTGGTGATGAATCATGTGGTGCCCCGTTCCCGGGCTGGGGACAGGGAGCTGACAGCTGAGGCTGAGCGGAGCGTTTCCAGCCCAGCTCAGCTCACGGGCGGCTGCTGGTCCAGGGTGCGGGTGGGCCCCCCTCCTTCCCAGCTGCCTCTGTGGGGCACGTGAGGGGAGCCCTGGGTCTGTCCCGCAGCTCCTGGCACAGTGGAGTGTGAGGCCAGCACTCTGGGACAGAAGCCAGGGGCTGTGGTGGGCAGGGAGCACCTGCCACCCCTTGGCTGTGAGTAGCTGTGTGGACTCGAGTAGGGCACAGGGCTGTGGTTCAGCCCACGCCACCCCTGGTCTGGTTTAGATTTCTGGAGCAGTGGAGGGTGACGGAGCGTTCCCCTGCCCCTCCCCTCCTGCTGGCTGGCGGGCCAGGCCCTGGGCCGCTGCTACCGGTGCAGCGCAGGGAGCGGCTGGGCCGGCTGCCCAGGCCTGAGGCTGGCCAAGCTGCAGCCGCAGTCGGAGTCAGGCCCCGCATGGAGGGCTTGGCCAGCGCGTGCCGCACCCCAACCCACTGGGCCCTGGGGATCGTCCTGGCTCCAAGGCCTCTGTTCTGTTCCCTGGCCCCTTTCATCTGCTTGAGTTCAACACTCTAGACTCGGGCCCTTATCTGGTGGGCCCCGACCTTCCTCTTGCTGTGTCCCCATGCCCTACCCAGACCTTCGTGCCTAGGCCCATGTCTGCCACCTGCTCCAGTCTTTGCCTCCCCTCCACATTGAGTCCCAAGCCAGGCGGTACCCGTTGGTGCCCCACTGAGTCCCTGACACCTGCCTGCTCACGCTAGCAGCCCCCACTGAAGGGCGTCTCTCCCCTGCACTCTTTGGTTTGCTTTGTGGAAACTTCCAGTGTCCGATTTCGAAGGGCACATCCCTCTGGTTTGTTCCCAGTGCTGGCTGGGCCACTCTGACCACTGAGGTGGGTGCTCACCCAGCCACCCATCCTCTTGTGAGGCCTGTGGGTGAGGCCACAGACCCTTCCTGCAGAACCACACCCGGTGCCCAGTGGGCTGAGAGCAGCCAGCTTGGGGACTCTGGGGGCTGTGCTTGTCCAGGGGCAGGGCGCCCCTGCCAGATTGTGCTCCTGGGCCCAACCAACTTCTCACAGTGGCCTCGTTGGCTGGGAGGGCGGCTGGGCAGGTGATGTGAGGAGAGCACCCCGAGACAGGGAAGGGGCTCCCTCAGCTCCTAGCTGCACCCCCACAGCCCCCCAGGGCCTGGTGTCCGAGGTGGGCGGGGACTTCTGTAGTGACCAAGTTTGTCCTTGCCTCCCCTCCTTCTGGCCAGCTGTAGGCTCCTGCAGGATTAAGGAGAGGAAATTTGGGGTTGGGTTTCTTTCTGAACGAAACCTGCCGTTGTGACTTTTTATCCTGTTATATTTCTATCAGATTGGACACAGCCCCCTCTAGCCCCTAATGGCTCTGGCTTTGAGAATTTCCTCCAGAATTACACCACCACTTCCTGCCCCACAGTTCCCTGGAGCCCATCCGTGCAGGGGAGGGGGCAGCTCTGGCCCTGCCCTGTGCAGATGCCCACGTGGGCCTCAGCACCTGGTCCCCCACAGGGGCCCTGGGGCTCGGTGCCTGTGCTGAGGGCAGCAAGTGCGCGGAGCTGGGGTCTGAGGAGGGGCCTGGGACCGGCCAGCCACCCTGCTGCCCACACCTGGTGCCCTGAGCTATTCCCTGCCTGGCCGGAAGTCAGGCTGCTGCTGGGGTTGGTTGGGGGGGTGGCTGCACAGAGCCGGCTGCTTTTCTTCTCTGCTGTGCCCACCTAGCTCACACCACTAAACCATAATTGTCACCTGCAGGGTTTAATGGCCGGCCAGCTGTGCAGGGAGCATGGTGGGGGCCTACGTCAGCCTCCTCACCGTGGGCGGGGTCTTGGGGAGTTGGGTGGAGTGTGGTGGTGGAAGAACGGCTGGCGTCCTTCTAGCATGGGCACTGCTTCCGTGGGCCGTGCGGAGCTGCGGGGCAGGGGAGAGGTGCCTCTGTCCAGTTAGTGTGTAGAGGCAGGGGAGTGGGGTGACCCTGGCATGCAGCGGGCCCCACAGCCCTTACTGGGGGCCTGGGTAGGCGCTTGGGGTGCACTTAGATGTCCAGTTCCTGGGGCTCTGTGGACAAAGACTGTGGTGTTGCCTGCCCACAGCTGAGCGGCCTAGGCCAGCTGTTCCCTTCTCGCCCCTGGGTGCCTGGCAGGCCTGAAGGTCGGGTAAGGGGGTTCTGCCGCTGCCCACCCATCCCCTGCCGTGGCGGGGGAGGGCTTTGTCCTTCCCTTCCCTCCCCCAGCCTCACCCCGAAGCCCCCACAGGAGCTCTGGATGGGCAAGCCCAGTCTGTCTCCTCACACTGTCTCCTTCCATGAGGGATGGCCCGAGTCCTTGGGGGTGGGGGTCTTCCCAGAGAACTGGGGCACCCTGGCCACTGGGGTGGGAGTGTAGGCTCAGGGTGGGGATGAATTCCCAACCTTCCAAGAGGTCAATCTGCCTCTGTATTTGGAAGATAATGTTTTGTTTTTAATTATACAAAATTTCCAGACTTTATATTATCATATAAAAGACACAAAATGCCAACACGTAGTGACCGGAAGAAAACCCAGGCAAGAAGCCAGCATGGAAAGTTCCAGTGGGTCTGGGCAGGTGTGGGGCCACCTCAGAGTCCTGCTGCCGCCTGTCCATCCATGGGCCCTGCTCACAGCCTGGCAGGGCTGGCCTGGGCGGGCACGCTCATAGAACGCCTTGCCCGAGTCAGGTCCGAGGTGGGGGCTCTCTGTGGCTCACCCAGGGGCATCCACTTCCCCCAGCAGCATGTGCCTCCCGGTAGCCATGGACCCACTCCTAACTTCGAATCGCCGTCTTTCTGTCGCGGTCCTTGCTCTGCAGAGGGGAGGGAGGAGTGTGAGGGCCAAGACCCAGAAACTGGTGCCACCCTGAGCTGCCTGGGCCTCTCTGCTTTCCCCACTGGGTTCTGTCCCTAGTGGCCCATGTGGAGGCACCCCCTTCCCAACTCGCCACAGCTTCCCCCGTGTGTTTTGGGGAGGGGAGCATACTGCTGCACAGCCGAAATTGTAAAATTAAATTTCCCAGATGTTCAGGCCCCAGGAGCTCGCGCGTGCTGTCTGGAGAGGAAATGGGGATTGGGAAAAGCCCTGCCGTATTTTCTCCCTGCTCACCCTGCTTTTCCGGTGCCACCAAGCACAGCAGGGGTTGTAAATCACAGCTGGCCAGCATCTCCTGCAGTGTGGCCTTGGCCCCCCAGTGGCACCCCGCCCCCCAGCCTCTGCCTTCGTGCCCACGCCTCACGCAGTCCCACAGGCCCTGGGGCAGAGCAGGTGCCCAACCAGCCTTAGGCCAGTGGTGGGCTGCAGGGGCTGTAAGGGCACACGGACCCCAGAGGTCCGTCCTTTCCTGCCCCTCAGTCCCCTTCCCATGGGGGTGGGCATGAACCAACATCCCACTTGCTGAACTTGCTTCACTTCACTCTCAACTTGCTGAAAAGTGAAGCCTGAAGCAACCTTGGTCCAGTTCTCCAGCCTCTCCCAGGCTGGTGTCTGCCCTGCTTTCCCCTAGACCCCTTTAGGCCCCTACCCCTTGCCCCACATTCGGGAGTCCCTGTGACCCTGGACGGAGGGCCCTGGAGGAGGCCTAGCCCTCCTGGCCGCACGCAGCCGGTGTGCACTCCTCCCTGTCTAGGCCAGGCTTGGGTTGAAGGTGTCCCTGTGTACCCTGGCGGGTCCTGCCCGCGGCCGTGCTCACCAACTTTCTCTGGTTGCTGAGGCAGAAGGTGCAGATCTGTTTGGGCTGGGCGTTCTCGCTGTCGCGGGCCGGGGCCAGGGCTGGGGGCGGCGGCGGCGGCGGCGGCGGGGGGCTGCCCGCGCGTGCCCCATGGAAGAAGGCAGGCCCTGAGTGGCACGGCTGCCCGTCGCCGCAAGCCTCGCCCACCAGCAGCACGTTGCCGAGGTGGGAGATGTAGCTGGAGGCCAGGCGCAGCGTCTCGATCTTGGAGAGCTTGCGGTCAGCCGGCTCGGTGGGGATGAGTGTGCGCAGCGCCGTGAAGGCCGTGTTCACGCTGTTGGTGCGGTCCCGCTCGCGCGCGTTCGCCGTGTGCCGCTGCCGGGGTTCACGGCCCGGCCGGCCCCCCACCCCCGGCCCGCCGCCCCCGGCCCGCCGGCCCCCGGCCCTCCGCCGGGCGCCCTGGAGGCCGCAGCGGGCGGCGTGCACGCGGCAGGGTTTCTCGTCGGAGCCAGAGCTCTCGCTGCCGCGGTCCTCATCCTCCGACAGCGGGCTCACCTCGGGGTACAGGTAGCGGCCCGGCGGCGCCGAGCGCAGCATGGCGAAGGACATGGACCGGCGGGGGCGCGGCGTCAGCTCAGCCGCGCGCCACTCATGCCGCCTACTGCGGCCGCCGCGGGCCTCGCGGGCCGCCCGGGGCCGGGGCGAGGCGCGGGGTCTTGGTTGCGCCCCGCGGTGGCGGCTGCCGGGCGCCGCGCGCACATGTGCGTCCGGGCTGGAGCAAGGCCGGGGGCTGCGCCTTTATAGGGCGGCCCGGCCCCGCCCCCCGCGCCGCCCCGCCCCCTCCCGCCGGAGGCTCCCTGGAGCCCTGGGCCTCTGCCTTCCTGGGCCTCTGCCTCTCTGGGCCCCCACCTGCTCCCTCTCCTCCTACTTCTCTGCCTCCTCTGGGTACCTCTGCCTCTCCCTGGTCCCTGCCTCTCCCATCTGTGTCCCTGGCCCTCTGCCTCCTTACTCTCTGCACTCCCCTTAGCCTCTCCCCCCACCCCCTCTGCCTTCCCCAGCCATGCTCAGGGGCAGGTCCTTGGAGTATTTCTTCATCTTGGGGGATACAGAGGAAGTGGGAGCCCCCTTCTGTGTGGCAAGTCAGGCCCCCAAGACTACAGTGGCTGCCATTGCTTCTCAGCAGGTGGGAAGGGGACCCACAGTCCTGCTTTTTTTCCTGGCATAAGCACATTAACCCAGCTGCTCTGGCCTTGGAGCCTGACCGCGCCCTGTCTGTCTCGCCCTCCCGTGTGCACTTGGGCCTGTCTACCAGGCTGTGTGCCCCAGCCCCAGTGCTAGTGTGAGCTGGCTCCGCCCATCTGTCCTGCACCTGCCCCTCCAGGCCTGGCACAAGCTGTGCTTTCTGCTAGGTCCTCTCCCACTTTTCTCAGCTCAGTCCTGCTCCATGGCTTCAGAGAAACTGCCCCCATAGCCCCATCGTCTGCTGTGTGCATCCTGTGGGTCTCCTTGACCATGCCTGGGGACCAGGCACACCTGGATAAGACCTGGTTCTTCCCCAGAGTCCCCAGGTCCCTCAAGAAACAGACACTCATTCCTGTCCATCCAATTTGGGGATGGCCATGTTGTCTTGGGGTGTCTTCCTTTCCCTTCCCCATGGAGAGGAAAAGGACATTCTCAGCAATGGGCAGGGCACTGGGGAAGTCTGGGGGTGGACCTGCTGGGAGGGGCATGAGTGGGCAGGTACAGAGGGGCAGAGCCCAAGGGGTCCTGTCCCACCGGCAGAGGGGAGCTCCCATCTGTGCTCATCCTGTCTGCGTTCCCCCCGTGGCTACTGTTGCAGGAAGCGGCGCCTGGGCAGCAGTCCCCAGGCTGGAAGGAGTGAGGGTGGTGGCTGGCAGGGGCTGCAACCAGGAATGTGTGTCCAGGAATGTGGCCTCTCTGCCCGCCCTAGGGAGGGGTGGGGGGAGGGGGTCCTTGGCCAGCCACAGGACAGAGCGCAGTAGTTTTTGCCTCTTGTGGGGTGGGTCAGATGGGGTCTTCCCCTCACCCCTGCCCACCTCTGCCTTAGGCCCCTGCCAGGGGAGGGAGCCCGGTGGGCGATGAGGTCATTGCTGTCTGTGGCTGCCCAGAGCCCTGGCCAAGGAATCCGGGGGTGGGGGGGCCTGGGGTTGGCACCGCTTCAGTGGAAAATGTGAAGGTGCAGCTCGGGCGCCTCCAAGGGCGGGGTGGGGGGGGCAGTGCCGGCCGCCGTGCCACGTCAGACCCCAGGGCCAGGGAAAGGGCATGTGTGGGGGTCGGCTGGCCTTGGGGTGATCGAGGCTAGTGCCTACACTCAGCCTGTCCCCTCATCTGCACCTCCTGGGTGGCCTGGAGGGATATGCATGGTGGAGCTGAGTGCTGATGTGGTGGCCATGGCTGCAGGACATCCGGAATACGGTGGGCAATGTGCCCCTGGAGTGGTATGAGGACTTCCCCCACGTGGGCTACGACCTGGACGGCAGGCGCATCTACAAGCCCCTACGGACCCGGGACGAGCTGGACCAATTTCTGGACAAGATAGATGACCCTGACTACTGGTGAGGGGCTGTGGGCAGGGCCTGCAGTGGGTGGGGCTGTGGGGCTGGAGCCAGGCTCTGACTGGCTGGCCCCCAGGCGTACTGTGCAGGACCGGATGACAGGGCGTGACCTGAGGCTGACTGACCAGCAGGTGGCCCTGGTGTGGCGGCTGCAGAGGGGCCAGTTTGGGGATGAGAGCTTTGATCCATATGAGGTAGGCAGCAACCCTGGCCCTGGGGGTCTTGAGGTCCAAGTAGGGCCCTGGCCCCACATGCCTGTGCTTGCCCTCCCAGCCAGCCGTGGACTTCTTCAGTGGGGACATCATGATTCACCCGGTGACCAACCGCCCAGCTGACAAGCGCAGCTTCATCCCATCCCTGGTGGAGAAGGAGAAGGTGGGAGCATCCCTGCCCCCCAGGGTACGGGCCCTGTGCTGCCCACCCTGACCTGGGCTATCTGTGCAGGTCTCTCGCATGGTGCATGCCATCAAGATGGGCTGGATTCAGCCCCGCCGGCCCCGAGACCCTACCCCCAGCTTCTATGACCTATGGGCCCAGGAGGACCCCCATGCCGTGCTGGGGCGCCACAAGATGCACGTACCTGCCCCCAAGCTGGCCCTGCCTGGCCATGCCGAGTCCTACAATCCACCTCCCGAATTCCTGCTCAGCGAGAAGGAGGTGGGCTTGCGCCGGGCGGGGGTCTGGCCCCTGGCCCCGTGCTCCTGGCTCACCCCTCTTTCCATAGCGCTTGGTGTGGGAGCAGGAGGAGCCAGGTGAGAGGAAGCCAAGCTTTCTGCCACGACGGTTCCCGAGTCTGCGGGCCGTGCCTGCATACAGCCGCTTCATCCAGGAGCGCTTTGAGCGCTGCCTCGATCTGTACCTGTGCCCACGACAGCGCAAGATGAGGGTGTGTGTGGGTGGCTCGCCTGGCGGGGGGGAGGGGGAAGGGCAGGGGTGAACAGGTGCTCTCTTGCCTCAGGTCAATGTGGACCCCGAAGACCTCATTCCCAGACTGCCGCGGCCACGGGACCTGCAGCCCTTCCCCACGTGCCAGGCCCTGGTAAGTGGGGCGTGGGGGACACACATCCCCGGGTGTCCTGTCTCCTCATTGTTGCCTCCTCTGCAGGTCTACAGGGGCCACAGCGATCTCATCCGCTGCCTCAGTGTCTCCCCAGGGGGCCAGTGGTTGGCTTCAGGTGGGCCTGAGGTGGGTAGCCCTGGGTGGGGGGGCCAGTGGGAGGAGCAGGTCCCCAGAGCCGCCTTTGCTGCGTCCAGGCTCAGATGACGGCTCCTTGCGACTATGGGAGGTGGTCACTGCCCGCTGTGTGAGGACTGTGCCCATGGGGGGTGTGGTGAAGAGTGTCGCCTGGAACCCCAACCCCACCATCTGCCTTGTGGCTGCAGCTGTGTAAGCGTGGGGCCAGGGGCCCCGGGGTGTAGGGGATGTGGGGTGGTGCATGTGCTGAGGGCTGTGTCTGGCCCTGGCCCGCAGAGAGGATGCAGTGCTGCTGCTGAATCCCGCCCTGGGGGACCGACTGGTGGTGGGCAGCACAGACCAGCTGCTGAGTGCCTTCGAGCTGCCCCAGGAGCCTGCCCTGCAGCCCGCCCACTGGTTGGAGGCCTCGGAGGAGGAGCGCCAGGGGGGCCTGCGGCTGCGCATCTGCCATGGCAAGGTGTGTGAGGGGGCTGGGGCATGAGCAGGGGGCTGGCCTGGATCAGCCAACCAGCCAGCCATGTTCTCCTGCAGCCAGTAACGCAGGTGACCTGGCACGGGCGTGGGGACTACTTGGCTGCAGTGCTGGCCACCCCAGGCCACACCCAGGTGCTGATCCACCAGCTGAGCCGGCGCCGCAGCCAGACCCCGTTCCGCCGCAGCCACGGACAGGTGCAGTGCGTAGCCTTTCACCCTTCCCGGCCCTTTCTGCTTGTGGCCTCCCAGCGCAGTGTCCGCCTTTACCACCTGCTGCGCCAGGAGCTCACCAAGAAGCTGATGCCCAACTGCAAGTGGGTGTCCAGCCTGGCCGTGCACCCTGCAGGTGAGCTTGTGTGGGATCATGGGCTGTGCACTCTGCAGGTAAGCGGGTGGGGACACCCTACTCACTGCCTCTTGCCGCCTAGGTGACAACATCATCTGTGGGAGCTATGACAGCAAGCTGGTGTGGTTCGATCTGGATCTCTCTACCAAGCCGTATAAGGTGCTGAGGTAAGGTGAGGTGGGCTGTGGATGTGGCCAGTCAGGTCTCTCCCTCCGGCCCGACCCTGCCTCTAATCCGGCCTCCCCCAGGCACCACAAGAAGGCCTTGCGGGCTGTGGCCTTCCACCCCCGGTACCCACTCTTTGCATCTGGCTCAGACGACGGCAGTGTCATTGTCTGCCATGGCATGGTGTACAAGTGAGTGCTGACCTGCCTGGCCCCTCCCTAGGACAGCTGTGTCCACCTGTGTCCTGAGCCCTCCTCTTCCCCACAGCGACCTGCTGCAGAACCCGCTGCTGGTGCCTGTCAAGGTGCTGAAGGGGCATGCGCTGACCCGAGACCTGGGTGTGCTGGATGTCGCCTTCCACCCCTCCCAGCCGTGGATCTTCTCCTCGGGGGCCGATGGGACCATCCGTCTCTTCAGCTAGTGGCCTATCCTTCCTCTCGGCGGCCACGGCTGAGGCGTGTGGGTCTGGGAGGCTGGGTGTACCCAGATCTTCAATAGAGGCTTTGCTCCCTGTGGCCTGGTGCTCCTGCCTCCTTGAATTGGGGTTCCTGCTGGGCCTTCACCTTGCTCAATTTTCCAAAGTTGGGGTAGGAGGGAACAACACACAGGCAGGGGCACCCTCCTGGCCAGTCCCTGAAGGAAAGGCCACATCATTGTACCCATCACTCGCTGAGGTGCAGGTGGCTTTATTGAGAAATGGGGGGGTCACACGGATGCCTGGCCTGCAGCGCCTCTCTCACCAAGGGTTCAGGTTTGGTCCCTGGCAGTGCCAGGCCGCCCCACCCTGCATCTAGGCAGGGTGTCCCTGGGAGGCCCCATCTGAGCAGGTTCAGGCGGTACAGGCCCGCACGGGGGGTATTGCTTGTGGGGGGCACGCTGGCCAGAGCTTCATGCGAACTTCACCAGGCGGCCCAGGGCTTCGGCAGCCTTTGCTCGCACTGCAGGGGCCGGGTCCTTCAGCAGCAGCTGGAGAGCTGGGGGCAGAGGGTGTGACTGCCAGGGGGGTGCTGGGAGCTCCCACCCCCCCCCCCCCAACCGGAAAACGGGCCCGGGGGGGGCCATGACCTCGGCACACTCCCGGCTGCGCGTGGGCCACACTCTCCTAACAGGCCTCTGCTGGGAGGGCTCAGGAGCCGACGGAAAGATAGTTTTTCCTTTTTTAGTGTTTTTTAAGCTCTTTTGGAACAGTTAAGAAGTTTCCGTGAATTACTAGAGACGATGAGGTCACCAGTGACAGGGAAAGAAATCCAGGAAAATCACTTAGTCCCTGCGGGTGCCCACAGGGTCAGCAGGGCCCCAGTGGGTTGGGGGCCCTTGTTGGGGGGGACAGGGGGCTCACCCACAAGGAGCTGCTCCAGGTCCACCTGGGGCCGATGTCTGAGCTCCGCGTGCAGCACCAGGAACCCTGTGGGGTGGGGAGTAGGGTGAGGGGTAGGAGGGTGGGATGAGGGGCTTGCGGGGTGGGAACAGTGCTTACCCGTGAACATGGGGGCGGCAGCACGGATGTCCTCCCAGTTGCTCTTGAAGTAGAACAGGTTGGTGCTCACCAGGCGACCCAGCAGGTCGGGGAAGTGCCGCATCTGTGGGCAGCTTGGGTCAGCCCAGCCCCTGCTGGCCCCCTGCCCCCTGCCCCCTGCCCCCTCTGCCCTCACCAGGTGCTTGCAGGTGGTATTGAGGAACTCGCCAAAGTGCAGGCCCCGGCCTTCCTGCAGGTGCTTCTGGAAGGTGGCCGACAGTTCTTCACACTCTAGGTTGGGGCCACACATGTGCAGGGCAAACCTGCAGGCCTGGGGGGCACAGAGCTGAAGGTTGGCCCATGGAGGCTGCCCACCCCCACCCCCATCCCCACCAGCTACTCACGCTGGCCACAGGGGCCTGAGAGTCCTGCAGGTGCAGCAGCAGGGGCACCAACCCACTGACGACCTGGTCCAGGAAGACATCCTCACAGTCTCCGTGGCAGGCCTTGTTCAGGTGCCCGAAGAGGCGGATGGACGCTGTCCGGACCTCCATTTTCTCCTGGGGGGCAGGCATCACCTCATAGACTGTAGCCCCCTCCACCTGCCTCATGCCATAGATGGTGACACTTGGGCCAGGAGGGGCCAGGGACCTAGCAGTGGTGACATAAAAGCTGGCAAGACAAACTCCTCAGGGTGGGAGTTGTCAGGCCTTGGCACTCAGGTCTGCTCTGGGAGGGTCTGGCAGCAGTGGGGAGTTGGCCAGGGGCGGCCTGGGTGCTGTGACGGCCCTGAGGCTGGCATGGGGTCTGGCTGGAGTCCCTCACCAGGGGTGCAGACTGTTGTAGCTTTTGTGTCCCTGCCCCCAGCCCAGCCTACACTGTCAAAGAAGGGCCGGACACGGATGGCAACGTGCAGCAGCACCGAGTGCAGGTCCCAGGGTTCCACCAGGGGCAGCAGCCGCGAGAGGCCCACCATGGCTTCTAGGGCCACCAGGCTGTGCGGGTCATCCCCGTCGTCCAGCCCACTGATCATGGCCGTCAGGAGCTGGGGGCCGTGGGCCCGCACCTGGGGAGGCCACATTCAGCCCGGGCTCCTGAGGCACCAGCCCTGGCCCCACAGGCTCACCCCCTCCCCAGGCAGCCACGGCCCACAACCATGTCTGCCTGGGTCCTGGAAGGGCTGGTGGCCAGGCCCACCTTGTCAGGTGAGCCTGAGGCAAGATTGGCCAGGCCTCGGAGCACCAGCCGCCGCACACTGGCACACGAGTCCTTCTGCCGTGCTGCCAGGCTGTCCAGCAGCGACTCCAGAAGCATCAGGTCGTTGACCACGTTGCTGCTGAGCAACTAAAGGCAAGGGCACATGACCAAGGGCTCCTATTAACCTCAGAGGTTCACCCTACCCACCCAGCTCAGGCCCAGAACAGCACAAGGCTGCCCTTGCCTTGGGGCCAAGGACCTGGCCCCTCCCTCCTGGAGCTTCAATAACACCCCCTTGTCTGCTGGGGCCAGCTCTGCACCCAGCCCCACCCCTGCCCTCTGCTGTGTGACCTCATGCAAGCTCTCGGTGTCGCCAGCCTTGAGGGCCAAGGGAACATGCTGAGGAGCCTACCCCCATTGAGGGCCCAGTGCTGGGAACAGTGGGGTGTCACCAGGCAGGGACTGAGCATAAGCAGGGGAGGCTGGTGCATACCCGTGGGGGAGGATGCCCCACCACCTGCCCTGCTTGCCCCTGCAGTGGTGGCACAGAGGCATCTGCCAGCCAGGGCAGGGGGCTCATCCTCACACCCAGCCTCCCTCCCAAAGCCCTACCTCAGCCAGGAAGGCTGTGGAGGTGACCCTCTGGATCTCATACGCACTGTTCTGTGTGCCAATGAGTGCCTTCATCACCAGGGGCAGTCGGGGGCCTGCATACTTGGTCATGGCCCTGGGGAAGGAGGGCACCAAGGCTGCAGGGGCTGGAGCTACCCCCAAGTGCTGGACCCTAGGGGCACTTCGATGCCCACCCTGCTTGGTCAGAGCCCAGGCAGCTCACCTGGGCTGCTGTCCCAGGGACTCAAGCAGCTCTGCCTCCCCCCACATGCCACTGGGGTCCCCTGCCTGACCCTGTCAGGTCCTGTGACCGCAGAGGTCGTCTGAACAGGACCCAGCCCCAGTAGGAGCCCAGATAATACTAGCACTACTGTGGGCAGGGCCTGCTCACCTGGCCAACCGGGTGGTCCCCTCCTCGTGCCCAGCTGAGGTCCTGAGCAGCTCCCAGCCACCCTCCAACTCCATGTCCTGCATCACATCCTCACTGCCGCCTCGGAGCAGCATGGCCTGTAGGGCGTCCACTGCAGAGCTGTGGGATCATGAGTGGGCTCAGCGGCCAGACACACACCTAGCTAGCGGGGGGGTGGGGCCTGGGTCTGCACTCCCATGTGCACGTGCACACATGGAGAAGACCCTGGGGTGTTGAGCCCGTACCCATGGAGCCATCCTGCAGGGACCCAAGACAAAAGGCCAGCTGTTGGCTGGCCTGGAGGCAGTGAGGGCTCATCTGTGACCACTCTGCCACCAGCCTCAGAGGTGGGCACAGGCAGAGCATCCAGGCTGCACCAAGCTTCCTTTCTGGACACTCGGGGCAAGTACGTGTCTCGGCCTCGCCTGAGCACCTGGCCTGTGTGCGGGCCTGGAGCCAACCTGCCCCCGCCGTGGGCCTGAACCTGCACCCAGGGGGCCCCAGAGCTCTGAGGAGGGTAGGCAGGCCACACTCCTGGCCCACTCTCAGGTGGTGAATGAAGCCAGTGAGCAAGTGAGCAGAGAATGTCATTGCTGAGAGCCGTAGTACCCACACCTCGGATGACTGCCGCCTCTGCAGAGCCCTGCCAAGCAAGGACCTCACCCCCTGCTCTCCCTCGCAGGAGGCAGGCCTGCGGCTGGAGGCCCAGGGGCTGGTAGGAAGTGTTTGATGCCACAGCCTCCCCGGGGCCCAGCTGGATTTGGTGTCCACCTGCTGCTCAGAGAAGCCCTTCCTGGCCCAGGCAGCGGCACTGGGGCTGCAGGACCCAGCAGGCGATGTCTAGGGGGGAGAGCATCACCCGTTCCTCCATGGGTGCCAGGCCACAGCATCCCAGAAAGACCCTCACACCAAGGCAGGGCCCTCCCTTGCAGCTCTTTCTGTCACAGTTCTCAGCCCCACATCCCCACGCTGCCCTCCCTGCCCACTAGCCACTGCATATGGCAGGCCCTGACCCCAAGTGCTCCTGGCCTGAAGTGGACACAGCAGGCTGTGTGCCAGCCTGCTGTGAGGTGGCAACTGTGGCCATGGTGACTATGCCCACCCCACCCACTGGTCACCTCATGCCAGGCATCAGGCCCCATAGGCTCTTTGGACCACGAGAAGCCTTAACTGCACTGCCTGGCTGTGTGGGGGGTGGCCGGCTGAGCACATGCCCAGGGCCCAGGAGGGAGTGCAAGGGGCCCCCGCTGAGGCTGGGACAGGCCTTGCTGGTCTGCACACTGTGTGGGGACAGGATGTAGGGAGGCAGTCATGCTGGGCACCAGCTTGTTTGGGATCCAGTGACTGAGGCTGTGAGACTTCAGGTGGGGCCAACTCCTTGGGAGAAGGGCTCGGGCAGGGCTGAGGGACTGAGGAGCCCAGGGGTGCCGGCAGCGGGGAGGCAGGTGTGGGTAGCTGGGCCAGATGCAGCCCCGACAAGCATCTCCAGCTCCCTCACTCCCCTGGAAGAAAACACTAGAAGGCAGCTCTGATGTCCCAGGAATTCTGTGGTTGTAACAGAGAACCTGGTCTTTGAGCCAGGTGGCCTGGGTGCTGAGGGGCTTCTGGCCTTGGAGATGGGGCAGAAGAGCCATGCCAGTCACTGGGCAGGTGCCCACAGTGCAGCCCATGGGAGGAGGCCCTGGACACGTGCAGGGCCAGGCGAGCCTTGGGCTGAGTGAGGGTTTAGGGTGAGGGTGCTGGTGGGCCCGGCAAGAGTGCAGCTGCCAGCTAGCGCCACACCCTGCTCTAGGCCTTGCGGCCTGCAAGGCGCCATCTGGACCAGAGGCTGCACTCCAGGCTGCAAATGGTGCGCTGGTATAGTCTAAGGGGAAGTGTGTGTTTGGCTCAGGAACACGGTAACGACTGAGATGAGGATACCTCCCCTGCTCATCTGCCCAGAACGCTGAAGAGCATGGCATCAGCAGGGTCTGCCTTGCTGGTTGGTGGCCTCTGTCAGCCAGGCTCTGCAAACACCCTAGCCCCAGGGGTGTCCCACACAGAGCTGGTCCCCAGCAGGCCAGGCCTGGAGCCGCTGGCCACTCTGTGTCTGTTCACATTGTCCACTTGGTCTCCAAGGACTGCACAGGCCCTGGGCCTGCAGAGTCTGAGCTGGTCTGAGCAACCCTGTGGTGGTGGCAGTGGTGCGGTGAAATGAGGCCACCCTACCATGTGTCCCCAGCCGAGGTGCACACCCAAACCCAGATGCCTGTGTGGGTGGGGCATGGTGGTCCCTGGGGCTCCTGTCATTCAGAGTCATGGGGCTGGGGGCACCGCCAGTTCTATCTGGGGTGTCAGCTTCCTCTGCTGGCAACATGGCCCATGCACTGTGTGGAACACTGGGGACCCCTACACCAGCTCAGGAATGGCCACAGAAACCAGGCTTGGCAGGCAGGGGCCAGGCACCTGTGCCACTGAAGCTCAGGCCAGCAGACCGGACCCAGCTCCTATCCTCACCCCTCAGCAAGCAGCTCTACCTTGCCCACCCTTGGACTCCTGCCCAGGGCTCACTGGCAGAGGGCACAAGACCCCAAACCCCAGTAAGAACGGCAGGGGAAGGGCTGGGGAGCCCCTTGGGGAGGCCAGGAACATCTTAGCAACAACTATTGTATTGGGCCACAAGCACACACCAAGGCCACTCTGCCAGGACAGTTTCAGGGGCAAAGCTGGTCCTTCCTCGGTTGGCCCAACCCACACTTCAAGGACTCCCCACAGCTCCGCCTTCTGAGAGGAGACACTGCCTGTGGCCAGCACCACCACACAGAGCCACAGCAGTCCCTCACCAGCCTGCCGGCAAGGGCAAGAAGAGAGAGACCTTCACTGCCAGTATGTCCTTGAGAGTTGCCACTGACTGCCCAGCCCTGCACTGGGCAAGGCGCCAGCCCCTGCAAGCAAACTCTCCTGGGTTTCCCCTACCAGCAGAGCTGGCGCAGGCCCTTCAGGTCCTCTCCCTCAGGGCCGGTAGCTGGTGTCCTACCTCCCTGCCTCGTATGTGCATACACACCACATCAGAACACTTACAAACCAGCACTGGGGCGGAGGTACGGACCCCGTTACCTGCAGGGCTTGAGGTTCCTGGAGGCCTGGGCCGGGCTGGTGCCCCTCCTCTCCTTGGCCTGCAGGTTCCGGGGCAGCTGGACACCCACAGTGCAGCTGACACGCAGCAGGAGCGCCACAAACAGCTGCGGGTAGAGCTCGAGTACCGCAGGCCCTGATGCTGGGGCGGACACAACCTCATGCAGCGCACAGGTGGCCTGGGGAGAAGCCACCATGGGTCTGGTGCCTCACCTGGGCACTGTACCCCAGGACCAAATAAGCCTGAGCCCCCCTCATGTGCACCCTGTGTGCACTGGGGGTCTTGGGCCCCTGGGGCAGCAGGCAGGGACAGAGGGGTAGTTCAGCCTTCATGGGATAGGCCTCAGACCATCTGTTCTCAGTTCAGAAGGGAGGAGGGGGGAATTCTCATAGCTGGTTTACTGCTTGAAACACTGCCAAGCTGGGTTTATTTTTTTTTCCACAGGATAAAACGTGAAGTGATCTCCCTTGGGGGCCAACACCTGTGAGGCCTTTATGAGCCAGGGCTCAGTGCTTCAGCACCCGTGCCCCTGCGCAGCAGCCAGGTGCCCATGGGGTGGCACCCAGGCCACTTTGTGGGGGGCTCACCCTGGCACTCAGGCAGGTGGGAGCAAGGATGATATGTCAGGGTGTCCCCTGAGGTCCCCACTCACCGAAAGGGGCAGCAGCGTGGCCACGCGGTCAGGGGTGCTGCCTAGCAGGAAGGCCCGGCTCTCCTTGAATGGGACATCTCTGCCCATCTTCTCCAGAAGTAGCCCCAGGACCTGGGTGGCAAGGCTGGGTTCCACGGCCAGGGCCCGCCAGAGCATGCACGTGTGGCTGCAGCGGGGCAGGAGGAGGGTTACCACAAGCCACCACTGGCCACGGCATCATAAGCACCTGGGCCGGGCATCCCCGTCCACCCCCCTTGGAGTGTGCATCTGGCCCCACAACACTCGGACAAGCCCAGCAGACTTGGAGCATCCAGGTGGGAAATGGCCTCCTGACCTTGGGTCTGAACTCATCCTCCCTGACCCCAGGGGTCTGTGTACAAAGCTGGGAACAAAATCTGGTCCCGAACACAGGGGGCCTTAGGCAGGGGTGGGGGGGTCCCCAGGGAGCTGCCAGAGCAAACGCTAAGCTTCTCTAGAGGAAGCAGCACACAGTAGGAGAGAACCCGGCGCACAAGGAAATCAGGCAACACAGTGAGACCATCTGCACGTCACCAATGGGGGACACTGGAGGCAGCTATGCTCATGTGTTTACAGAACTAAATGCCAAGCTTCAAAATATCTCCTGGGAACTTAAAATTCTAAGGATAGAGCAAATTTAAAAGAGAACCAATATAGCCATTTTAGAAATGAGACACTAATGCACCCAGTGGACATATTTGGTGCCAGCCTGGATATGGCAGAAGAGAGAAACAGTGAATTGGAGGATAAATCAAAGAAGTTAACTCAGAACCCAGCACAGAGGAACAAAGTGGAAATTCACAAGACAGCATAAGAGATGTGTAGTACAGAATGAAAAGTCTAACTGTTCATTCAAGGGGTGTCCCAGAAGCACCAGAAAGAAAGATAATATCTGAAAAGGAAAAGGCTGAGAATATTTCAGAACTGATGAAAGATACTAACCTACAGACTGAAGCAGCCTAGCAGCTCCCTAGCAGAATAAATAAAAGGGAACCCCCGCCTCCAATTAGCACAACACCAACACTGAAGATGTTCATGAAGACAGTACCAGTTAGATTTGTGCCAACTTCTCAAGAGCTACGGTGGAAACCAGAACATGTGATGTGTCATTTCACACGCACTGAAGAAAATGCCTGCAAAACTAGAGTTAAAACTCTGAGAAATGATATTCAAGAAGGATGGCCAAATGAATATTTCCAGTAAACAAAAGTGGAGAGTTTGTCATTAACACGCTCACTGAGGAAATTCTGGACAATGCATTTTAGGTAGAAGCTAAGTGATGGAGGCTGCAATGCCAGGACGAGGAGTGAAGGACTCGGCGGTAAATGTGGACAAACACACACACTAGCTGGGATGCAAACATGCGCGCTGGCGAGGACATGGGGGCAGTGCCAATGCACTGAGGCCCCGCAGGCTTGGCCATCCTGGATGGCGGTTCAGTCACACGTGACAGCCAAGCCTGCCTGCACCCAGGGCAGAGCCACAGATTCTGAAAGGGCCAACTGGCAAACAGTTGGGGCTTCATGGACCACAGGGCCTCTGCTGCAACTCGTGCAGTCTGCTGCTACAGCATAACCGGCCACAGAAGGGAATGGGTGTGGCCGTCTCAATAAGATTTCACTTATGGACACTGAAATTTGAATTTCCTATCATTTTCACATGTCATGAAATATTCTTTGGTCTTTTTCCAACCATTTATAAATGCAGAACCTGCTCTCAGCCCATAGGGTGTACACACACAGGGGGCAGGCCAGGCATAGCCCATGGCTTTGGTCTGTTAACCCTTGACCTAAGCAATTCCGCACATAACACAAAAGAGACGAACACTCTACCCCACAAATGACACACCCAGGAACCATCAAAGCAGCATTGTCCCAAACAGCCCTAAACCACCCAAACCTCTATCACCTGGACATGGATGAGTGAACCATGCAGTACCCACGCAACTCCACACCACGCTCAAAAGAATGGGCTGAGCCAGGAAGCCCCAAGACTCGACCTGACCCACATGCACAACACTTATGTTCAGGTGGAACCTATCTCCAGGGAGGGCAGGTGGCAGTGGAGACCTTTCTGGGGGTTTCAGATGAGGGGCACACAGGGTCTGCTGAGGGCGGGACCCCTCCTCTGCCTCGTGTGGAGAGTGCATGCGGACATGCCACCATGGAAATAAAGACTGAACAAAGAGCAAAGTGGTCAAGATTTACCTAAATACTGTCTGCATGACAGAGGAATAGTGATGGCTCCAGCATCAGAGGCAGCTCCACATAAACCAAGGGTCCTTGTTACGGAAAATGCTCAGAGAAAAGAAACACAGCACTTCCAAACTAATCAAGTGGAAGAATGAAATGGTGAGAGAGACTGTAAATCTAAAAAAAAGATAAGAAAGATTTTAAAACACAGAGCAAGTAAGACAAAAAGAAGGCAAAAAATAAGAGTGGATTTAAACCCATGACATCAGTAACAAAACACAGCAATTTGCTATTTAAAAGGAACACATCCAAAATACAAAGACAGGTCCGGGACAGCACAGCGGCAAATGCTGGAAGTGCAGCGGCATAGCCAGCAAGGCAAAGCAGCGCCCCAGACGACCACAGGCGTCCCCAGGAGGAAACAGGTGTTTTAACTTATATGCACCTGATGGCACAGCCATCAGTGCGTAAAACAAAAGCTGACAGGAGTGAAGGACCAGACACAACAAAACCCGCGTCTTCGAAGCAGCCACAGCGCCTGCCCAGCGGAGAGGGTCCCACTGCCTCACCCAGCATGAGGGCCTCCAGGAGGTCCCAGGCAGGCTGGCACGCCTGGGACAGCAAGAAAGGCAAGACCAGCAGGCCTATGCTCCAGATCCCGCCGCGAGGCAAGGTGACCCCAGTGGGGTGGTAGGTGGGGGACAGGCAGGACAGAGACAACGCTGCCATTTGTTGGGAGCTGGGAAGATGCGCCGATGGACGTGAGGATGGGGGGGACGTGATGGTATAGGTGAGGATGGAGGTCCCTGGGCACCCAGAGAGGGCTCAGAGTGCGCACAGCCCTGCGGATCTGCTCACAGATCATGGTGGAAACCCTGTAGGGGACAAGCCCTGGGAAAACAGGAACAGACACATCAAGGAGCAGCCTCCAGTGCCCATGGAAACCTGGGGCTGATGGGAAACCGGCCAGGCAGCTTCAGGGCCATGGAGGAGGACAGGGACAGTGAGCCCCCCATGGAGGATGTGCAGAGCCCAGCCCAGCTGGGGGCACAGGGAGGGCCTCAGCCAGGACCTTGAGGTGCCTATGAGGCTGGGGCCTGTCTCCACAGGCCTCGGCAGAAAGCTGGGCACAGAGGCAGGTATGGTCCCCAGGAGGGAGCACTGCTTTAGGCAGGAGGGACCCTAGGGCCTGGGCCAGGTACCTGTCAAAGGGCAGGGGGCTGCCCAGGAGGCTGGACACCACGGCTGCACAGTGCTGGGATGCCAGGAGGTACACACTGTGCTGGGTGGCTGGCAGGATGTGCTCCTGGGTCTCCTGCAGCTTGGAGCGCAACACGCTCACGATCTCAGGCACCTGTGGATGGACAGGACATAGTGTTTAGGCCACGACTGGGGCCGGGCATGGGTGCACATCTGCACAAGCCACAGGGGGTGCGGCCACGTGGAAGGTACCCAGAGCGCCAGCTGCCGGCCTGGTGGGAAAGGCAGGGCTAGCTTCCAGAGGCGGAGCAGCCCAGAGAACCAGGAGTCAGAGTCAGCCCCAGACTTCACAGGAAATGATGAGTGCCACTGGGGGTAGGGGGCAGCTGGTGCAGAGTGGTGGAGGCAGGGACTGCCGGGCTGAGTTGGGGTCCACAGAACCAATGGCCCCTTGAGCCCCCATAGCACACCTGCTCAGTCCAGCCCAGAAGACCCCACCTCTGCCACTGGAGGCAGGACCTGCATGGGGGTCAGGCTGGGGGCCAAGGACAGAGGCTGGGGTTGGCCTCAGAGAGGGAGGACGGGACCTCTAGGTGGGTGGTATGAGTTTGCAAGTGTCCCACTGCTCTGGAAAACAGGTGACTGGACCATAGAGGAAGGTGGGCAGGAGGACCCTGGCCCCGGGACCCCCAGGCCCACCCCAAACCCAGCTGTGGGCTCTACAGCCCCTGACCAGCCTTCAGCTGGTCTAGGGCACTATGTAAGGCCCTCAGGGCAGGGCCTAGTCAAGGGGGCCCCATCAGAGTGGGTGGCTGGTCTGGGAGTTTCCTCATAGCCTCAACTGTGGTGGCCCCACTACCAGGATGCACAACTAAAGCCACCAGGGTCTGGGGTGAAAATAGATGAAACAAGAAGCTGGGGGCCACGGGGTCACAGCTGGGAAGGTGTGTGGGAGGCCACCTGGTGGAGGTTGCATGACAGCTCCCGCCTCGCCATTGCCAACCTCAAGGACACAGACGTCCATTTCCTCGGGAGGCCCTGTGTGCAGGGAGCTGTCCCAGCCCAAGGCCATGAGCATCAGAGTTCAGACAACCTGTGTGCCTTGGCCTTTATCTGCATGCCCCAACTGCCCTCCTCGCCCCAGCCCGGCCATGTCCCCGACAAGATGGCTGTCCAGGTCTGGGGAAGCTGCCTGCTGCACATCAAATGGTCCTCTGCATCCCTGACTTCCAGGAAGTTTTGACTGCAAGGAGGTCAAGCAAAGACTTCTACATAGGTGTTGTTTCTCAGCTGCTCAGGGCGGTCACTTGTGCAGAAAGGCCTCAGGGCATGCATCCAGTGCTGGTGGTGGTGGGACGTTCCTGAGCCACTGCTAGCCTGTCCCACCCGTTCCCTGCTGATGTGGCCTCGTGGCCTCTCCATCCTATGCAACGTGTGGGCCCCAGGGCTCAGCTGGGGGCAACAACTCGGTGATGCAGGAGCAACCACTTCAACCACCTTGGTAGTTATGGCTCCACTGGACTCTCCCGTCTCCCTTGCTTTAATGTTGGCATTTTATTTTTTGCAAAACCTATCAACTTCACTGATTTTCAAGTGTTTTGGAACACAGTTGATCATGGATATGCTTCATTATTTTTCACATCTTCTGTGTGCATATTATTTTCCCTCTTTTACTTCGTATTTTGCTTTTATGGATGGTGGCTCTTTTCCTATGACTTGTCTTATCAGAGGTTTATCTTTCTATTTATTTCAGTGGGTTTATTTATCTTCTGTAATATTTTCTTCTGCATATTTACTTTTTCAACAACTAGAACCTACTGGTGCACATGAGCGCTTGAATTCACACTTTTCACAAAGTTTGAAATAGCATCTGGGTGCCTGGGTTTGGAGGGCCCTGGGGGTGGGGCTGGCATCCACACTAACTTCTCGGCTCGCACAGCCCAGTTCGCAGCAGGCCCACGCGCTGGTCCCCGGAGGAGGGGCTGCAGTCCAGCTGCCTGCGGTGCCAGGCACAGTGACCCCTGCAGGGGCCTTTCCCTTTCTGTCACGCTGGGTCTGGGCCATGTGCACACCATGGCTTTGCTGAGACGTAATTCAGACGCCACACGGTTCAGCCGCTGTAAGTGCACACAGTTCCTGTGCACCCGTCACCACAGTCAATTTCAGCACAGTTCCATATCCCCCAAAAGAAACTCTGTCTTCACCAGCGGTCACTCCACATCTCCCCCGGGCCCCCAGCTCCTGGTAACCTCTACGCTACTTTCTGTCTCTGTGGATTTACCTATTCTGGATGTGTCACATAAATGGAATCACACTGTGACAGCTTTCTGTGTCTGGCTTCTGTCACCGGGCATGATGTTCTCAAGGTCCCTGTGCGTGGTAGCAGGTGTCAGTGTTTTACTCCTTTCTATGGCCATGCTCCACTGGACAGATGGACCATATTTTCTTTTTCATTCACAAACTGCCAACATTTGGGCTGTTCTTCCGTTCTGGATAATACAAATAATGCCATGAATATTTGTGTACAAGGTTTTGTGTGAACACGTTTTTAGTTCTGTTAGGCATATACCCTGAGTGGAAGTCCTGGGTCATGTGGTAACTTGATTTTCTAAGGACCTTCCACACTGTCTCCACAGTGGTGGCCTCATTTTCTGCTTCTGCCTGCTGGTTTCAAATGGAGTCCCTTCTCCCCTGTTGCTTCCTGGGCCTCCCTTGCACATCCTCTTCAACCCATGGAGGGTCTTTCTCCCCCATGTGACACACTTGACGTCAAGGATCCACTGTTGTTCCCTTGTCTTGCCCTCTGTGCTCTGATGCACGATCATCTTGTGTTGGGGGAGGTCACATGCCGCCTGCTAGGGCCACATTTTCTGATTCAATGTCAGAGAAACTCAAAGTCCAACAGCATCAGCCTGTTTTAAAGAGGTCCCCCGGCACGAAAGAAAATGGGGGGTTCGCCACAACCCCAGTGGGTAGATGACACTGGTGTACCAAGTTACAGGTGGGCTGAGGTGCTATGTGGTAGGCCTGCTCCTGGCTCAGCCTGGGCATCAACAACCCCACTCCCTGGCCTTGCCGTGGAGTGTCATGTATGGGAACCTGAGCTGGGAAGGAAACGGCTCGGCAGCTCCACTGTGCAAAAAGCACACCCTCAGAACCCAGTACCTAACTCAGTGTGCCAGGCCCACAGACGGGCCCCCCGCTTCATCACCATGGGGGACCCAAAACCATAAAATTTCTAGAAGAAAATATAGGGCAACAGCTTCGTGACAGTGGATCTGGCAATGATTTCTTGGACATGACACCAAAAGCACAGGCAACAAAGAAAAGAGGTCAGGTGCAGTGGTGTCGCCTGTGGTCCCAGCTACTTGGGAGGCTGAGGCAGGAAGATCACTAGAGTCCAAGAGTTTGAGGCTGCAGTGAGCTGTGATCATGCCACTGCACTCCAGCTTGGGCAATAGAGCGAGACCCTGTCTCAAAAAAAAAAAAAGAGAGAGAACGAAAGAAGGAAGGAAGGAGAAAATAGACAAATGGGACTATGTCAAACTTAAAAACTTTGTGCGTCAAAAAACAAATCAACAAGAGTGAAAAGGCAGCCTACAGAGTGGAGAACATGTCTACAGATCCCACCTGCCCTCACCTTCTCCAGCAGTGCGCTACCCCGCTCCTGCAGCAGGCAGTTGACCATGACCGAGGCGGCCTGGGAGCAGTTCTTGTCGGGGTCCCCCAGACCCTCAAACATGGTAAGCAAGAGGCTGATGAGCTGATCCGCCGGGAGGCGCTTGGCAATAACCTATGCAAATGGTGGTGCCAGAAAATCAAAGAGGGTGGGGCCGGTACCCCCAAACGCCACTATTTCCAGGCATCAAATCGCAAGGGCTCCAGCCCTTCTCACAGCTGGCCCCAGCCCTCCCCACCCTGCACCCTGCACCTTCCATGAGCTCACAGTACAGTCATGGGCCCTGCAGGGGGGCAGAGGGGAGTCATTCACCAGAGCCTGCCAGGGAAGATAGGAGCCTGGGTGGGCTTCTGCAGAGGTCCCTGGGGTCACAGCTCCCTCCTAGGGCCTCCCCCTGGCAGTGTGATCACCCTGGAGCTCTCCAGGGCAGCGGGGCAGCCTGGCCCAGCTCGGCAGGCCTGGACCCTCAGCTCCCCTCCAGCTCAGCAGTGGACAGAAGCCCTCTCCTTCTTCCTTAAGCATGAAGAGACTGGCCAGAAGTTACAGCCAGTAAAGCAGCATGAAGGATAAAGAATAACACAAAACGATGCACCAAGAAGACATGAAAGCATGAAAAGTAGCTGAACATCCAAGAATTCTGACCCGAGACCAGGAATCCTCTGCTCCACCTTAACTGGCCCAGGGCAGTGTCTTTGCTTTCTAGCCCCAGAGTCCCCAGCCCAGAAAGGGCCAAGGGGACCCTTTCCTTCCTTCTCCTCTGCAGGAGACAAAGCCTCTGGATCCTGGAAGGCCATTTCTAGGCACCACATCAAAGAGCAGCCACACCCCAGTTCCACACTGAGGAAGGGGCAGCTCTCTCAACCCCCTGGAGCCCTGTTGGGCCTCTCGGCGTGGACACCAGCACCACAGCGCTGGAAGGCACACTGGACACAGGCCCAAGGAGTCTGGCAGGAGAGGACACAGTGCCTCTCTCCAGAGTGTAGTGGACAAGGCACCTCAACCAGCCAAAGGCAGGGCCCACCCCAGCCCCTTGGCAAGATGGCCAGAGCCCAACGTCCCCTGCAGATCATGCTCCAGCCCCAGGTGGCTCTTAAGTAGGTGTGAGCTCAGGACAGCTCTCAGCACAAGCACAGGGAAAGCCCCAGAAACCTGCATCTGTGGCAAACAGACTTGGGGCACAGGCAGCTGGGCCTGGTGGCACCCCATTCTCTCTATGGGTGGTAGGGGCAGCACTGGTCAGAGGTGGCATCAGACAACTAACTCTCTGAATGAAACCTGCCCTGTGCCCCATATCCACTAACCCTGGGTGGCACCTACAGAGCCTGGGAGAGGCCAGGTGCTGCCTTGAAGCCCCTCAGCCCCCCACGGTGTGGGCCCCTCCTTTCGGCCACCAGTGTTCTGCATGTACCTGGGCTATGCTGTGGCAGGTGTGGAAGAGGACGGCCGGGTCTGGGTGCATGAGGCCATCCTTGAGGGTGAGGAGCCGCTCAGCTGTGTCATCACGGTAGTCTCGGGAGAAGCCTGAGAGGAGAGGAGAGTCCGGCTGAGGCCTTCCTGGGTGATCCCAGAGCAGGGCTCCGTGCCTCATCCCTCTGTACCTTTGCCACCTTGGCCCAGCCCCGCCTGCGCCCTCAGCAGGGACTCACCCTCATAGCCCAGCTGGAGGTAGAGCAGGGAGTAGACGCAGCCCACGGCCTCCTGGCGGGCGGCAGGCCACAGGTCCGCGCACCGTGGGGAGAAGAGGCCAACAAGGAGGCCCAGGTTGTGGAAGGGTACCAGGGCCTGGGGGAGATGGCCAGAGGGGCCGTGTGGTGCTGGAGTATGGCCAGGAGGGCAGCCTGCGTCCATGCAGCCCCAGGCCCTCCCCATGGCCAGCACAGCCCCCTGCTGAGCCCCTTTCCTGACCCAGTGTGGGCTCTGCCCAGCTCGGCTCTGCCCCACCTGGTCCGCCTGGGCAGATACTGGGCGAGCAGCTGTGTGCAGGCAGCAGGGACAATTGTGGAGGAGGGGGCATGTGCAGCCAGAGGAAGGCCATGAAGCCTGTAGGGTGCTCTGGGATGTGAGGGCCACAGGCCAAGGGAACCAGGAACAGGGCTGGGCCGGGAGCAGGGCAGGCTGGCAACCCGGGCACTCACACTGACATGCAGGTGCTCCAGGAAGTACCGCAGCAGACAGCTGCTCAGGCCCAGGGCCCGCACCCGCTCATGGCCCCTCGGGGACTTGATCCATGCGCTCAGGTGCTGGGGAAGAGGGGACTTCACACAGGTGTCTACTCAGGGGCAACCCAGGAGAGCAGGGCCCATGTGCCAGGCCACTCCTCCTGGGCTACAGGGGCCAGGCCAGCCTGCGTGGCTCCCACCTCAGGGCCCACTGCAGCCCTGGCCTTGCCACCCTGCCCTCCCACCTGGCTCACAGACACAGCCCACCAGGTGGACTCAGAGCCGGCGGGGTGGTGGAGGCATAGGGAGGAGCCTGCACTGATCCAGAAGGGCACGTCCCTGGAATGAGGGGTCGGTGCTGCCCCAGCCACAGCAGTGATTAGTGTGGAGAAGCTGCAGCACAGCTGCGGCCTTCCCGCCCTGCCACCATGACAGCCCCCACACAGCCAGGAGCTCACAGGGGACTTGTGGGATGCCCCAATCCTGGCACCATGTGGGCTCCAGAGGCGCATCTTGGTCTGGGCCTCTCCCATCTGCATCCTGCCCAGGCAGGAGGGGTGCTGCTGCCCACTCAAAGTCCCCCCCAATTACAGAGAGCACCAAGCCATCCCCAGGGTGCCCCTATGGAGAGAGAGGACCCAGAGAACCAGGTAGAGCAACTCTTGTCCAGCCCCCACCCTGCACACCTCGACCATGACCTGCAGGCCCTGAGGGGTCATGTCCCGCTGCAGGAGGCTCGTCAGCAAATCCTCAAGGGCACGCACCGTATCCAGATACAGGGCCTGGAAGGAGACCAGGCTGTCCGGCCCCACCAGTGACCCCACTGCTGACAGTGGCCTTCCCGCTGCCCCCCACGGACACAGGCACACAGTGAGGGACACGTGGCAATACCTCCTGGCAGCCGCTGTCCTCACCCTGGGACTCAGGCGGCAGGGCCATGACACTGTGCAGGCAGCCTTGGATAACGTCTGCCCGGGCCTGCTCCCCCAATGCCGGCTCCAGGGAGCTGAGCAGCAAGTTAAGGGCCCAGACATCAATCCTGTGTCAGGTCCAGCCACCCGGAAACTTCCGGGCCTGTGTGGACAGGGGCTGCCAACATGTTTGGCTCGCTCTGGGCCCGAGGCTGCAACCCCTCACGGCACATGTGTGCACACACAGGCCCACACACACACACAGAGCCTGGAAGGATACACCAGGTAAGTGCAGGTGAGCATGGCTTTCTTTCGAACAGGTGTCCTTAAGGAGTCTGGGGGCTCTGCTCTGATGAACTCCTGGGGGAGGTAGCCAGTGGCTCAGCCTGGGAGGAGGCGCCAGCGTTCCTCCCCGTTAGCCTCCCAAGCTCCGTCTGTCCTCACGTGGCCCCTCATCGCGTTCTCACCCCTGGGTCCTCCCCAGACCCCACCGCCACTGCCATCAGCACCTGTGATGCCACCATCTGTCTCCCAGGAAGCTGCCTGGGACCAGCTACATGGTCAGTGCTCACCATCATCTGTGCCACCAGCTCTGCTTTCCTGGAGAAGTGGAAGGAGCTGGCCTGCGCACTGCTGCAGATGGCACGGCTGACCATGCACGTGCTCTGGACGAGGCATAGCTTCAGGGCTGGATCCTGGAGGGACACCCAGCTGCAGGCGGCCATCGACACCCACCCAGGACCAAGCCCAGCACACGCCCCCTCTCCTTCTGCTGCAGCCAGACTGCTGCTCTGTTCTCAGAGGAGCTCCAGCCAGTCCTCCCACACGTCAAGTCCATGTGGGACAAGAGGAGGGTACCCAGGGGTCACGGAGGAGAGGAGAGGAGTCCTCAGCTGAGCGGGCCACCCCTCCCTGTGAGCTCAGGGTGAGGGGAGGTGTCCTGAGGACACATGAGGCCAGCCCCTGCCACGCTAACAGCCGAGGAAAAAGAAACTCTAAGAACCCTGTGCTCTGCCCTTCATGGGGTGCCAACTATCCCCAGCAAGAGTCTTGTCAGGTTAGCGCCAGAGATGACAGAAGGAAACAAGTTAGAGATGTGGGGAGTTTCAGGGGGCCAGTGAGCCTCCCTGCCATTGCCACTGGTTCTGGTCAGCCCCCCTCCTAGGTGCAGGGATCTGGAAAGGTACAGCCCCTGAGAATCAAGGAGCAGAGCCAGAGGAGAGTCGTCTGTCCTGGGGCCAGGTAGCTATAGCCCAGGCCATGGCTCCTCAGAGGCGGCAGAAGCCTCCCTTGTTGCCCACCCACCTCGCAGGGCCTAGGCTGGGGCCCTGTTCCAGCCCCCAGAGGAGGGGCTGCTCCAAATGGAAGTGGGGGCAGGAGAGGGTATGATACCCTAAATGCTCTCCCATAGGCTGGGAGCAGGAAGCCCAAGCGAGCTCCCCTCTGGCTCTGCCCCTGAAGCTCAAGCCAGCCCAGAATGCTGAGAGAGGAAAGGCAGAGCTCACACTTAACTCCCACACACTGTACCTTGGTTTCTACCTTTATTCCCAGAACCTGAACAATAAAAAGTGAAATGAATTAAGTCGTGAGAGTCTGGTGTCAGCAGGACCCCTCCCTGCCAGGCCCCACTACGCAGACAGGCCTGCGCAGCACCCACCTTGGTGCTGAAGTACTGGAACATGTTCCGGAGGATGTCTGACTCCACCCTGGCCAGCATCAGCTCGCGGGGGGCCTGTGCTGCCACGTGCCCGTAACACAGGATCAGCGCACTCTTCACTTTTTCTACCTCATTCTCGCTTCTGTCCTGAGGGGCCAGAGGAGTCACCAATTATATCACAGACTGCACCCCTGACAGGAAGCCTTGGGCTCAAACTCACTGAAGTCCTCCTTGAAGAAGGGCCAGAGCTGGTCATCAGAGGCATGACCCAGCTGGCAGACAGCACCACCTGAGCGGGAGAGCCCCTTTGTCAGGGGCCAGGGGGCCAGGCATGGGCCCACTGGGGAGCCAGTGGCAGAGGAAAAAGGACTACATGGTGGGGTGAGCAGGAGGGAGGGCTGGGAGCCCCAGAGTAGAGGCCCTGTCCTCGCCTGAGCTACAGGACAGCTCCTCTGTCCCTGGGGCCTGTCCCACTTGTGCACGGAGAAAGGGCTGGGAGGCCCCGCAAGCCAGGTCCAGCCCTGAGAGTCTATAATTGGGCGGGGCCACAGCAGGGATCCACCCCTTCTTAGGTCAGGCCTTGGCTCTGGCAGCTCAACCAGTGGCTTTAGCAGAAGTGCAGCCTCCACTGGCCACCAGAGGGCAGAAGTCTATGCAGACAGCCTGGTCCCCAGAAGGAGGTGCTTCCAGACTCACCCTGGACCCCCTCTCCTCCCTCATGACTGGCAGAGGGATGCACGCACCTTGTCACCAGCTGCATTCACTTCTGGGAGGCCTTATGTCCCCTCTGCCAGAGGTTGGGATGAGTGGGCTGGCCACACACCCACACACACACACACACACACACACACACACACACACACAGGCCCCGCCCATGCAGGGAATGCAGGAAGCAAAAACTGCTTAATGTCAGCTTCCTCCCCCACCCCAAGCACACAGGGTACCCCCTGAGCCCAAACTTGTGAAGAGACAGAGGGGCAGGAGCCCCGCCTGGTCCTCACCAACCCCACCACTCCCCAGGACCTTAAAATGTAGGGCAGCAGCTGAGAAACAAAACCACAGAGACAGTCCTACCCCAAACCTCCACCCTGGCCATCAGCCTAACCTCCGTACCTTAAAAATGTTGAAAATGCCAACGGATTTTCTAAACACATCAGACCTTACAAAGTCCTCCAGCTGGGCCAGGGTGTCCTCGAGGTGGGAGGTGGCACAGATCCCAAAGCAACAGGCAAGGCCCTGGGGAGACACACAGGTGTACTCACACCTGCACAGAGAGGACCCTGCTCCCTGCCTTAGAGTCATGTAAAGAGATGAGCGCATGTGCACACACGCAAGGCATACACGCTTGTGTACATATGCAGATGCAGGCAGTGCATCATGCACACACACACATGCACACACATGCTGTACACATGTGCAGATGCAGACAGTGCACCATGCACACATGTGCATACTGCACACAGTGCAGGTGAAGATAATGCACCATGCACATGTGTGCACACTGTACACACTGCACGTGAAGACAATGCACCACGCACATGTGTGCACACTGTACACGGTGCAGGTGGAAAGAGTACACCATGCATACACCTATACACACATTTACACATGCACACATATGTGCATATATGCACAACCCACACGCACACACTCGCGCACATGCTGGCTGGCTGCCTGAGAGAACAGAGGGCTGTCCGCCAGCCCTTGAGCATCCAGGGGCTTCCGCAGGGAAAGTGACGGCCACCTCACGGTCTGTGTCCTCCTGGTATCTGGCTGTTTCCAGCAGTTCTTGAAGATGTTTCCTCACCACTTCCTTACTTGAAGCAGCACCCAGGGTGGTTCCTATGCATTTGTACAGGAAGTGCTGAAATGAAGCCAGAGAACAAGGTTGTGCCTGACTCCTAAGTAGAAGGGTGCCCAGCACTGCCATGGTGCTGCTCCTGGAGTGCCCACTCTGCCGCCCAGACATGGGAGGGGCTATTGGGAGCCATAGTGCTAGCGCTGTGAGGACAGCTGGCAGAGCCTGGGCAGCATCTGGGGGCAAGAAGCAGGGACAGTGGGCTACTGCACCTTCCAGCCCTCAGCTACCAAGAAGAGGCCATAGGCATTTTCCTAGCTCTGCCAGGGCCACCAGGAGCACGGAGACAGGCCCAGACAGCAAGTGACAGAGACTGAAGACACAGGCACCTGGAGCCTGAGGCCCAGGCTGAGCAGCTACGCACCTTCTCCTGGGGCGTCCCGTTGTAGCAAGGCAGCTGCTTGCACATCTCCAGGCTCAGCTGGCAGGTCCACGTGTTGTCAGAGATAGTAGCCAGGGTGTCCCGCAGGAACTGTGGGCAAGGAGAGGTCCTGCAGGGGCTAGCTGGGGATGGGCCTGAGGTCTGGCCTGTCACCACCTGAGGACCTCAAGGTGGCCCCTGCTGTGGTTCCAAGTGGTCTGCAGGTGACCTCCCAGCAAGAGCAGTGGCAGCAGAGGAAGCCCTGCATGGTCAGCTAAGCAGGAGGCCTGGGATGTGAATAGCTCTGGGCCAGGCAAGGGGTGGAAGAAAAGGCCTGTAGCGAGGGCAGTTCGAAGCCCCTGGGATTTGGCCTTGGCTGCTACAGGGTGGGTGCCTTGTCCCAGCAGCCTGCAGCCGGCAGAGGTCCTTGCCTCAGAAGACACCCGCCCACACCTCTGTTGTTCCTCCAGCCACACCATGAAGTCGAGGTTCAGGCAGGTAGTATAATCCTCAGCGGGTGGGCGTGCCCCCAGCTCCTGCCACCCCAGCCCTCCCCACCAGCCCAGAAGCTGTTTCCATGCCCCGGACAGGCCACATCCTCAGCCTCCTCCCTGCTCTCACCATCAACAGCTTTTCCTCCCACTCCTTCCGTGGCAGGGTTTCCTCAGTATATTCTGAAATGACAGTCACCCAGTGGGCCTAGCCCTGCCAGGCAGGCCCATCCCATTGCACGAGTGGGGTCCTCAGAGCCCAACATGCCCCCCCAGCCTAGGCCCCACCCATCTTCTGGAGCTTGGAGGGAAGGCACAAGTAGCAGCCAACCCAACCTGGCTGCGCCCACTTCCCACCTGCTCTCAGGGACAGGAGGGAGGCCTTTCAAGCCCCAGGCTGTCCTGGACCACAGTGGTGACTGTTCCTTCCAATTTACAAAACCCTGGTCCCCACTGGCCTGCCGCTTCCCCCAACCGAGTGCTGCCCTACTCACGTGAACCCCACAGGGCCTCACCATCTAGGTACCCCAGCAGCAGGGGGATGGTTGTCTCCCACTGCTGACCCAGCAAAGGGTGAATGCTACGATGCAGAACGTTGAGGAGACGCAGCGAGGCTGCCCCACGCCCATCCCCCAGGTAGGGGTTGGAAGACACAACCTGAAGGGAGGCAGACGTGGGAGTGAAGTCTGAGTAGGTGGCTCCCGGCCGAGGACCACACCCTGCACCTGGCTCTTCCCGAAGCTCAGGCTATGGTGATGGAGGGCAGCCCTGCCATGAGCATCTGCCTGGCAGCTCCTCACTGAAAAGGCAGCGCCCTCCCTGGGAGTCCGTGACAGCACAAGGCTCTGGGCAGTGGGCTGCCACATGAATGGGAACAGGGACTCAGAAAGAAGTGCCCACTCTTAACATCCTCTGAAGGACCCCGGGGTCTAGCCATCATCTAAGGAGGCATGTCCTGCTCAGGGGAGCTGCGTAGTACAGTGCTCACCAGGAGTCTTGTGGTTACAGCGTAGGGAGAAGGAAGGTTCACTGGAGACAAGAGACGAGGAACAGTTGCTCGGAAGCCAGCCTGGCTGCCTGAGCCCAGCCTGCAGCTCTCAGGCGGACAGGGGGCCAAAGCTGGGGCTGTGGTCCCAAGCAGGGATAGGGTCAGGGCCGGCACGCACCATGGGCATCATACTGGATGAGGAAGGTGTCGGCCCCCACCTCCTGCCTCTTCTGCGCCAGATGCACGAGGCTCCTGCAGAGTGGAGTCAGGGCCCCGGTGAAGCGCACAGGGGTGAGGAACTCCAGCAGGTACGGCCAGAGGACCTGGGGGCAGAGGCGGCTCAGAGCTGGCAGGGCCTGGGCATACTAGGCTCTGCACAACAGCTATGAGGGCTGCAGGCCCTGCCTGAGCTCAGAGAGTCGGGGCAGACCCTTCGCTTGCCCTGTTGCGGCTGAGGCGGCCTCTGAGCCCTGCCTGGCCGCTACCCTGCATGGTTTAGCCGTCACCCAGGACCTGGGGTTGGGAGGGATGAAGTTAGTCACAGAACAGGGGCAGGAAAACCTCTGAATGAGAACACAGGGGTGCGGCCGGAAGGGAGGCCAGAGCCACCCTGCACTCACGTCGCTCATCCGGTCCACGGCGGTGCTGACCAGGTAGAGCGTGCGGATGCTCATGGCCTGCACACCATCGGCTGAGAGGTCCTTGCTGTCGGGGCCTGGATTCTCAGGCTGGAGGGGGAAGGAGCAGAAGGCAGGGCATGGGTGGGGCATCATGTCCACGCACCAAGGTAGGCAGCTGTGGCTCGGGCCTCTGAAGACACATCTGTGTGGGAGCAGGACAGATCCCACCAGCCTCACCCTGGGGCAGCGTCACCGGCCACAGACAGGAAATGCACTCTGAGCTAAAATCACCCAAGAAACAGTCTCACCTGGCTCGGTTCTCATCTGCACAATAAACAAAACCTTGAGCATTTCCTGTAAGCTACTGATTTCATAAAAATTAGGTCAAACATGGTAGCACCTGTAATCCCAGCACTCTGGGAGCCTGAAGCAGGAGAATCATTTGAGGTCAGGAGTTTGAGACCAGCCTGAGCAAATGCAAGACCCTGTCTCTGCTAAAAATAGAAAAATTAGTCAGGTGTGATGGCGCACGCCTGTAGTCCCAGCTACTCAGGAGGCTAAGGCAAGAGGATCTCTTCAGCCCAGGAGTTTGAGATTGCAGAAGCTACGATGATGCCACTGCACTGTAGCCTAGGTGACAGAGTGAGACTCTTGTTTCAAAACAAAAGAAAGAAAAAAAACTTTGTCCCTGCTTTACAATGCTGCCACAGGAGAAATGGGACAGCATTTTTGTAAATGATAATCTCGGGAGAAATCCTGTTTTCCACACCAAGCCTTGAACACAACCTCGGCAACCTAAGCAGGTGAGACACCTGCTGTCCTCTCTGTCTGGTGAGGCAGCTCCAAAGCCTGGCTCCCTGGGAGGCTGCTGTGCAAGGAGAGAACTTCTGCTTCCTACATACTTTGCTAGCCCTACATTCAGGCGTTGAAACAAAGCAAACACTGAATGACAAGGAGAAACTGGCAAAACTGCAACCATTGCAGGAGACTTTTAATAGTAACCAGAGGTCAAGCAGAAAAAAATAGTGGTATCTAGGCCTTGAACAACAATTTTTAAGGTATGCTCTAAAAATATAGATAGAACTTCATACCAAACACGCATGGACAACTCTGAAAGCCTCACCATTAAGCCAAAAAGACTATCTCAACAAACTGTTAAAAGCAGAAATCAACCTGGCCAGATTCAATGTAACAATGCAATACAATTACAAATCCATAATAGGCATGAAAATCTATCCACTGGGAGATTTTCAAATATTATAAAAGAACCATTTGGGTTAATAAAGAAACCAAACAGAAACTGCAAACTAGCTGATAATGAACACTGAGAACACACACAAAATCACCAGACACACAAATATTAGGGCACACAGGCCAAGGACATAGCCTAAAATATCCTAGAAAAGGGAAAATATTAACAATATGAACCAAGTACAAGGAAAAAAATCCTGAAAACTTGTAACAGTTGAAATAAAGAATTTAATTCAGGAAGTTATTATAATAAGGTAATAGATATCACCAAGGAAGAAATTACTAACTTGGAAGAACAGACTGAAGAAGACTTCAAGGAAGAAGAAATTTAAAAAAAATGAAAGAAGGAAAAGCTCAAAGATAGGAAAGGCAGCAGTGCTAGCATTTAGATAATAGACCAGAATTAGAGAGAGAAAAACTGATAGGAAGAAATAGTTAAATAAAGGAGAGAACTTCTCTAGAACTAAAAGGTAAAAAAAACGCATGCAAGCAGAGTCCACAGAACTTGAGGAAAGGACAGTGCAAGGTGAGCCAGGAACATCTTCGTGTGCCAGAAAGTAGAGACAGCCTCCGAGAACAACAGGCCACATCCCAGGAATATAGGAGCCAGCTTGTGGCAGCGCCACTGGCCAAGTGCAGGGCAGCCTTAGCACCAGAACCAACAGAGATGGTGTCTAGACCATTCCATCAACGAGCTGCCACGGGTCCACGTGAACGTAAGACTAGGAAAAGCTTTTTGTCACAAGACTAAAAAACTAAGTGTAGAAATATTAATGGAGTTAGAAAACCATCAACTGATGCTAACACCATTTGATGCTGATTAAGTTTAATCAGTAAGCAGATATTTACTTAGTCCCAATCTCCCTACAAACTATCTATTAATTGTAAGAGGGACAGCAACTGTAAGTGCAGAAACTTCACTGAAACAAGTGATCAGAGCTAACAAAACCAATGTTGTGATAACCAACTCTGTGATGTAACATACTAAAGAGGATGCACATGCTTCCAGGAGATTCCTGTCAAAACTGCATCACTTGAATCAAATCGCAAGGAAACACAAGCCCCAAGTGAGAAACATCTAGCAAAATAATTGGTCTGAACTCTTAGAAAATGTCCAGTCAACAAACACAAAGACAGGAGGCTAACAAGACATAACAACTACACATAATGCCTGACTCTGTGTTGGAAACTGAGCCTGAAAACAGCTGTAAGAGACAGAATTGGGACAAATAATAAAATGTGAATACAAACTATGTATCAGGTAATATTATGGCCTCAATGTTAAACTTCCTGATTTTGACAACTGTACTATGGTTATGCAGAACAATGTCCTTACTGTTAGGAAATAAACACCAAGGTATTTAGTATTTAGGGATAAAGGGACACAATGTCTCTAATATTTTCTCAGATGAGTTAAAAAATGTACATGCATGCACATGTGTGTATACAAAATATATAAAGAATAACAAAGACAGAACAAGAAAATTACACACACGAAAAAGAAAACTAAAGACTAATATCTCCTATGAATGTAGATGTGAAAATCCTCAACAAAATACTAGCAAACTGGCTGGGCGCGGTGGCTCATGCCTGTAATCCTAGCTCTCTGGGAGGCCGAGGCAGGCGGATTGTTTGAGCTCAGGAGTTCGAAGCCAGCCTGAG